GATTTTCTAAAATTAAGGTTTCAACTTTTTTTGAGCTCAAATGCGGGGTTTGCTCAACTTGGGCCCACCAAAAGAAGCCAAGTTGAGTGGAAAATTCAACCTTTTCAAAAACTTTCTATAAATGGTTAGCCAACATAACAAAAAAACTGAACACAGGGAAATGTGGACAAGAAGCAGGCTTTCCCTTTCCTGGAAGGAAATTACATGGATGTGAATGGAGGAGTGCTGAGAGTGGAAAACACACAAAAAAGTGATTTTTCAGCCCAAATCCTCAAACTCAGCACGCGGGCATTGTCGCCTTATGCATAGGCCTCCACTGGCGTGGACAGCTCCGCTGCTCGCTCCCGCTCCCGTCGTGGAGGCCTAGTTAGGCTCGCTGGGAGTACAACTCTTGGGCTTTCTCCCCCAGAAAGTTGGAAAACCATGGAGATTGTGCTCGGCTTCTAATTGGATATGCATATCTATCTGAGCGTATGCATAAGCTGGCCAGGCGCATGCATACAAGCTCGACCGTGCACAAATTTCAGGCCAGGTGACGGTGACAACATACCCCTACTCCAACTTTCTTCAAACTTCTTGATCCTATCAACAACAAGAATGACGGACAGCCCTTCCAGGATCGAGCTCTTCTCAAACAGGCCGGCCGATCTCTTCCAATCCCTCCGGTCCCGCGACACCCCAATCGAGGAGCGAATCAAATTGGCACAGCGCCATTGGACCGATCAACAGTTCATCTTGCCCTACAAACAGCTCTACTTCTTGCGTTGGATATTTGATGTAGAATTCTTTGAGTCCAAGAGGTCAAACAAAAAAAGCAAGACAGAATCGTGCGCAATTTTTCTTACATTTCTCCGGCTATTCTCAATCGATTATGTCTAGATATTGATTGTCTTGATTGCCCTACTGAAGATTTACCTCACCTGTGCATTATCCAGTGTTCTGGAAGTTTCTTCGTCAACTCGTCTCAGATATCCAGGCTTCGGATTTATCTACCGTTCTTGGAGGGACGCCCCCGATTATACTACTCCGTCATACTTTTTTAGAATGGTCTAATCTGTTCGAAGATCTTGAATTTTCTCAGGACGTCTTGTCAACGCTGAAAGCAATATTTCCGACCATCAGCCAACGCCTCCCTTTCGATGTATCATTAGAAATACTGAATGAAATATTTGAAGGATTGATGAAATTGCCACGTTCAATATCCGAACCAGTGGAACAAATAGTCCTGTTGATCATTAATGGAATTTTACCGGCCATCGAACAAGCCCCCAATTCTCGGAAGGCATTCAATTCCATCGTACTCAACCAGAAATTTTTGGATTGTGCCCTCCAGGTGGCATTCAGTCCACACGCTACCGCCTCATTGAAATCATTGGTTCTTCAAATCATCCGAAGTTTAACCTTTAATATCGAAAACTTGAAAAAAATCCATTTAAATCAAGGCGTTCCAATAGAATGGCTGGAAGCCTTGCATACGATTGGGAAGCAAAACAAAAAAATGAGTGCCGCAGGTCAGATCAGCTTTCTCTGCATTTCTAAATTGTTCAACTTAACCAAAAATTTGCTGACTTTATAACTTCTTTGCGCAGTCATCGAAATCATTACCCATCTGGTGTCGACATTGATCTGCGAATTACCAAGCTTACGTTCTCAGCTGTTCAGTCAGCATCTCGCCAGCAATGCACCTCAGTCAAGCAACAGTCGAAATGTGGCAGTCGATTTAGCCTATCTCCACGCGACCCGAACCTTTATTCTTCACGTAGTAAATAACTGCTGCCAAGTCTTGAGGGATTTAGGATCGTCTAGTACTTCCAACCTGGCAGCTTCTATGGCAAGCCACAAAAGGATCATCCGACTAATTATGGATTCCAACTTATACGATCCCGGTCAGCCTAGTCAACACGAGATCCTCGACCAGATTGCCAATCATTGCGCTTGTCATCTATCAAACTCATCAGCTGATATCGCCATGGACTCCCTGCAAATTTTGGTTGATTTACTATCACTTGATTACACTTTGATCGAAGTTCGTTTGAACCTCATATTGCAAAATCTGATCGTTTCGCCTTACGACCCTCATAATTCGGGACCGATGTGTCAATTCTTCGATGGCGTATTCAGTTGGTTTTCGAAAGCAAAGCAAATACCAAGCCTATTTAACCAGTGGATCGAGATCATCGTAACCAAGCTACCTCAGTTTTCACTCCGAGATATTTCTAATGGTCCATTGATGGATAGGACGTTCATAGAACGAGCCCACGAAGAACTCCGTCTCTCCGTTTCATCTGCACAAATGGCAGTGATACACGACTTACTAAGCAGTAGAATCCGAAGTGTGATTCAAAGTTCGACTCTCTGCCCCGGTGACTCCAACCTAGAGCCCTCCTCCAAAAGGCGCAGAATTTCGGTCACACAAACATCTTCACCAAGTAAAGAAGAAACTACGACAGAGGCGCCAGACGTTGTAGATCAGAATGCACATGTTTCTGTTCTCATGAGCACTTTTTACAATTTATTTGTCATCTCAGCTTCTCGTTCTTCCCTTCAATCGAAGGAGTGGTCGAGTCTTTCCCGAAAGATTTCTAGCTTTGGCGGTGAAATCATCAACGCGATTGCCCTACCAACATTACAGCGCTGGCCGACCACGAACTCGTCAAAAAATCGATTCCGAAAATTCAAGAATCTTTCAGAGCAAACCGTCTTGGCTTCTGCGTTTCGCATATTAGCTTCAATCGTTCAGGTACAAGGCCTTCATACTTCTTCGGAATTGGATGTTCTTGAACTGTCAGAATGGCTTGAATTACTATCTCAAGTCTCTAGTCGAAAAAAGAACCACTTAGACCCCGGGCTGAGCTTTGAATTGGTACTTTTTTTTTCAAGGTAAAATGTGATCAGACGCGAGATATTAACACATTGTTCCTTTGCCCTGTAGATTCATCTTTTTCTGGAATACACCTCTCAAAGACTATCTTGCCTCAAAACTGTGGATCCCACCATCCCACACACCGCTTACCAAACCATATTCAAGTTAGTTGAACAGTGTCCGACGCCCAGCGAATTCAGTTGGAATGGATCTATCGTATCTCTCACATCGTCCGAACTTCCTTCTGCGTTATGGCACTATTTAGCTACCACACACTTGTCCGAGTTTGCGACCTTGGCTACAGCTGAGCAGTTAAATCAATTTGCACAAATTGCTATCAACTTCGGATCTCAGACATTAGATATTTCGACTGAAAAACGACGTTTCAGCATCCTCAGCATAAGCCGAATGATGTTACGTTCATCCGTTTTTCTCGAATGCACTAGTCTCCGTGAACCATTGCTTCAAAAATTGGTAGCGGCTTTCGAAGCAATCATGTCCTTGGAAGAGGGCGAAGCTTCGCCTGAATTGGGCACAACTCAGCTGGATAATGTTAACTGCCTTTATGAGATAATTTCTTACTTGCCGTTGAGCTATTTTACTAAATGGGCTCGAAAGCGTTTGTTCAACTGGAGTTTCGCGTGGAATCAGGCCTTACTAAGTCAAACAGTCGCCAGTGTATCACCGCTCAGTCAGGCTGTCTCCGTCATTCGGTCTCGCGTCTTCTTATGTAGAATACTATCAGATCCACTTTCCTCCGCCAATCCAGAAATGATGAAGCAGGCCGTCCCTATGATAATCAAATTCTTAGACTGTTGCGGCACGGAAGAAGATCAAGATGTGTTAATAAAAGTCACTGAACACTTGATTTCTGGGATCATTACTAAATTGATCAAGAACATGAAGTCGGGGGAAGATTCGGAATGCAGCTTCAGTTTACTAGATCAGTTCTGCGTGGCTCTTTCACAGCGCATTAAACATCTCGCTAAGACAATCGTTAAGACCAGGTCGATTAAATCAGAAGACAGACTCGTCATCTCACCATTACAAGTTATAGCTGACTATGGCAGAACACACATAATCAATTCTAATCGGGAGGCTAGTGCTGAAGAAGTCATTTTCATTCAGCGGTTCCACCAGCTCATTCGGCCAATGCTGGATAATCTGGAGTCAGCTTTGAAAAAAGCTCGAGCGAAAGCAAGCTCGAATCCGTCAAATCTGGGATTACTTGAGCTTGGCAAGATTTACCTCCAGTTATGCCGCATTGAAGGAAGTCAAGCAAGATGTAAGCATCCCGATTCTCCTGGTCAAGTATAATTTTGTGGTATCAAACTACTAACCTTGTTGCTTGGTTCGTCCTTGAAATTATTAGCTGTGGACAGTTTGATTGATTTGAAGCTACTTCTACCATCACTGGATCGAATCAAAGAATACCGGTCCGGTCTGGAAGCATCCGATCCGCACTCAGAAGTAGAAGAAGAAATCCTTCCGGAGTGTCTAGACCTGTTTGAAGAAATGATACAAATCCATCGACATCGATATGGTACGAAACGCAAAGAATGTGTGAACGCCTTTCAAACTCTGGTCGTCTCGCACGTGCATCTCCGAGCCTCAAGAACAGGTCAAGATGATCAACATAATTTCGATTTGAAGTTAAGAGGCTCATTCATTCGAAGTTGCAAGAATGCACATCCTCGCGAATCTCGTGAAGCTTTACGGATGATTTTGAGCGAAATCAATGATTGTTCTAAAACGTTTCTCGGTGCCGGCTCTGGTCAAACCTTCAATCTTGGCTCGCATTCATTCACCAGATTTCGAATCTTGATTGACGTTGCAGTTCTTTTGATCTTGAACTATTCTGGTCATGATGCCGATGATGCGCGTACTCATCATGGTGAGTATCAAAAAAAGATGTTGTCTGATTTATCTTTCTTGAGTTCCCCTTGTCTTGGTTTTGTTCTTGGCTGGATGAGTAGATGGATAGCTTACCAACCATCATTTGTTGACAGTGGGTTCCAGTAGCGAACTTGAAGAAGTGATTTTGAAACTCTTGAAAATTTTGAAGATGATCGATCTCGATGACCAGCAAAAAGGTTCTAGCCAGCAAGAAGCTCTGAACCTCTACGCTTGGAAGACTGACTTGATTGATCAACTTTGTACTCAAGAAGTAAGCATCTCTTCTCCAATTTTCAAAATAAGATGCCGGTGTACTAAGTTGTCAATCATATCAGCCTCATAGACTCGGCCGAAGCTCACTCCTTGAGGTTCTGGAGATCTTGATTGAACTCAGCACTCGAAAAGAGTTCCAGACTGTTCAATCGTTACATGACAAGCTGGTATCGATCACCTCCCACCTTAACCAAGAATGTTTGAGACGGTCATTGATCAACCAATTTCCGATATTGGTTGGCCTCCTCTCACGACTGATGATCCCAACACTAGACTTGAAAAATTATTCACGACTGGTGACCGATTTGACGTCAACAAATCGACTGATCGGCCCCTTCTCGAAACATTCTCCGTTCCTCATGGTCGACTTGGTCTCGAAGATCTCGCAAGCTCCATCCTCTGCTTCAGTCGAGAGTTTCGTTAACCATGGCTTGTTTAGTTTGATCTCTACCATGGGAAAATTCGAACGAAACTCGGTTGGTTATCGGTTCTTGGAGGCTCAACATCTTGGATCCTCTTCTGTTGATCATCATCTTCAGTCGGATGAGAATTCAAACAGTCTACTTAATTGGAAGAAAATCTTGAAGAATTGGGAGACTTTGAGATACAAAGGTACTGATTGAGCCTTCTTGGATATCATCAGATCACAAGTGTTTTTTTTCCCACTCATTCTTTGCAGTTGTGATGACCAGCACCTTATTCCCCTTTTGACATTATGTATATATCACCATGATCATCAAGAGTTTTTCCTCTTCTAAACTTCTATTCTTGTCAACTTAGAATCCATTTGTCCGTTGTCTTCAAAGAACAGCTTCCTGTTCCAGACATGAATAATTTGAGACTTGTGTTTAAGACGCAATCAATCATGGTAGGTGGTGGTTGTATAGGGGCGAGCTAGGCCATGATAGAGGTCCAAAGCAGCTGGTCAAGCCAAAGCCACAAGAGGTGACGCGTTCTTTTGGGTGATAGCGGATTTCAAGTGTGGATAGTGGCCCCATTAATGTGTTCTATGTTGAAACAAAAAAATGAGTAATTTGCCAGTTACCTCTTGAGTGTATCTGACAGAGCTGATGATAGGCACAATGTTTGGGGATGTTCAACTGGCACAAGTTAAGACCTTGGAAACTCTTACATTGTTGACCTGATAACTGATAGGGTAAATCACAACTTGAACTTGTTTTTATTTTTATAAAGAAAAGACAAAATGATTGGAAAACTTGGTAGAGAACTGGAATGAAGTCATTTTTTTAGTTACATGTAGATTATATGGGTGACTTTTGAATGGCTACTCTATCCAAACCAAAAGACCATACCTCACTAAACAAAAAATAAAGCTATGTATTTATGGACTTTGGTATACTTTTTTACACAAATCCAATCTTTTTGGAAGAAGTGTTATAAAAATGCCAGTTTATCCAAAGTGGTCCAAACACATAATCCCTTGTATAAGGTCTTTGAATCTTCCAGTAATATACATACTGGAAGGAACTCACTCATAATCTCAATCAATTTGACAGGATTACATAATTCAAACACCGTGTAGACCAGTCACATTCTCTGATTTGTAAGCTTGTTTCAGGGGGGAGAAGCTGAGCTTCCTTGGCATGCAGGTTGATGGTGCTGTCCAGGCCATAACTTACAAGAAAATTTGACATGGTAGCCAATGTGATCTCCTCAAATTAGCATAATCCCACAGCTGGGCCTGGATCTGACAAATTTGACCCAGTCATCTTTGTTTGTGATCTGTGAGGGGTGACTACATAGTGGAGGACTTCCCGTCAAATTTACAGCCCCCTGTAAAGCTATTTTTACAAGCTTGTGAAACTGTTTTCCCAGCAAAAAATTAGCTTTACAGCCTGTAAATCTAGCTTTACAAGGCCTGTAAAACCCACGGGAAGCCCTCCAGTCTATGGCACTGGATTTGCAATTCTGTTTTTTTTTTTTTCTTTCCTTTTTTGAAGAGAAGAGGCAAACTTTTTCTTGTTGATTTTGATCCCGCCAAATTTGGGGAGGAAAGGGAGGGGAAGTATGAAAGCCATGGATTTTTTTTTGTTGGATGATCAAGCCAGTCTGAGTCCACACCTTTGTTCAGATTCTGAAAATAAATAGGTTGTCCTGAGTTACAGAAAAAAGGGAAACCCATCATGATTTTGGCACATATTCTGTTTGAGTGCCAAAAGGCTTCAAACACAGCTGGGTGGCTCCTTTGGGTTACATATGAATGTATGCATCTCCTCGGAAGGGATTTGAGTTGTGTTGTACGCTCGATATAGAACTCGGGGTTTGACATCGATTGGACCCAGTTTAGAAATTTCGGCGAAACCGTTGAGGATCGTGTTTTCTTGGCCCACTGTACGTCGAGGCAGGTATAATCTCTCTTGATAAGTTTGCTCTCAGGGGTTGAATGACAGGTGTTCGGTTCATGAGATGTCAGGCGAGGGTTCACGGAGGTTACACAGCCAGCTCGGGCTGGTTGGAAGAAGTTGAAAGAGTTGGATGTATGCTATCCTGGTGAATAGTAGTAAGCCAAACCAAAAAACCAAACCAAAAGCCAGTCAGCCAATAGTCATGCGACTCTTCACCGAAAACATCACAGCATCAATCAGCCGCAGACAACGACCATCGATCTACAGCGAAACACTCAAGAGCAGCGAGACAACAACAACAACAACTACCACGAACAACAAACAGGCCCAACAACTACCAAGAACACCATTCAAGAACATCTCAAGGAACTCATCCTCAACCAGCCCAACCCAATCCACCCATACCAACAACAACAACAACAACAACAACAACAACCCACTCAATCTCGCATCATCAGCAGCTTCATCATACTCAGCCTCCTTCCCACACAACCCCTCCTTCCTCACCATCCCACACTCCCAAGCCACCCCTCATCACCATCCAAACCCCAGCTCGGTCCGCTCAGAATCAGTACCCAGGAAGAGCTCAGCCTGCTCATCGACCCGCTCGACGATCGAAAACGAGCCCAGTCGTTCGCATGGAAGACACACCCCGTTACCAGGCTTCAGATCCGCAAGCGCACTCAGCCAAATCTCATTCCGCTCCCTAAGATCCATCAACAGTCGGATCAAGGTCAGGATCCAGTCGCTCGGCCAGAGCCTCGAAGCTCGCAAACCGAAACTCCCCGAACTCGATTGGTCCGCTCTCAGGGCCGAATACGAACTCCATCTTGCCAGAGGCTCTATCATCGAACGCTGTCTCGTCCAGGTCGATCTCGGCCCCTCTGTCACCGAAAGAGGCAGATGGTGGATCGACACCGTCGTCAGTCTTATGTACTCCCCTCGATTACATACATCTTCAACCCCGCTGATCTTGACCTCCCCTCTTTTTTTGCCTTTGTTGGCATATTACGTATTTAGTGGACCCTGGCCGATAAACTCAGTCCGCCCCTACCAGCAGCACTGGCCCAATACTCAGCATCAGGGCTCATACCACTCCTCACACCACTCCGACACACCTTGCACAGACTGGCAGTAGAGCTACCGTATAACCATCTGGAGGACACGCCGGATCTCGACAAGTTCGAGGAGCTAGGGAGGATCCTTCGCCGGGCGATCTGGCTGGCAGGCCTGATCGAGAACGTCATCGAGCTCGTCAGTCAGGTCGGGCTCGTCCGCTTCGAACTCGCCGGCCTCAGACGCCCCTTCGAGGATCTCAAACTCAACGACGACGACGAGCTCAAGTTCGACGACTCCCTCCAGCTCGACCAACTCCTCGACCGCTCTATCCGTCTTATCTCTCATTGGAACGGCGAGATCAGGGGAAGGACTGGGTCGAATAATCCCTGGAAAGGCTCAATCAAACTCTCCTGATCTACCCCCCCTCCCCTTTTAGTCTGTATCCATCTCTTCGACCTTCCGCTCTCCTATCCAAGATCAACAGTACACACTCATGTACTTTCTTTCTTGACCATTTTTTTTTTATATTCCTTGAACAATAATCTCCCTCTTCCTCCCCAGTACATAATCATGTACCTTTCTTTCCTTTCCTTTTCCTCCCTCTGCTTCAAAATCCTCGGTCTCTCTTTGTATCAACACCACCACCATCATTATCATCATCGTCATCCTCAGCCTCTTTCTAACGAATCTGCCATCATTCTCACTCATTTTTGCTTTTCCAATTGTTTTTTGGGTGTCTGCATCTTTCTATTCTCCTATCTTCTTCTTCTTCCTTCTTTTGCTTTTTCTATTTGATGACTATGAGGAACTACAACCATTATGATCATCATCATCATTGATAGCATCTTCTATGATTTATAGATCATATATATATATAAACAAATCAACCCACAAATCTCTTGGCTTCTTTCTTCTAGATATATAAATATCTTCATCTTTCTTTCTCTTCTCCCACATCTTACCCATTTTTTTTATCTTTCTTGTTCATACCAAACACACACATATATATATATATATATATATATATATATATATATATAGATGATCATGAAGAAAAAAAACTTTGTTTTTCTGTCTTTTTTTTATCATTATCTTTGGAGTCATGTCTTTCTTTTTATGGTCTGTTTATGCATGAAATTTGAAGAATTATTTGGGGTTGTGCAGGGTTGCTGAGGTTGCTATAATTCCTACACACCCTAGCTTATTGGTGGGTGGACTGTTATCATTGGCTGGTTGTGTTGGATTCCAGAGCTTTGATTCCAACCCACGAGATTCAGGGCAAGTTGTGCAGAATATAATAAGGTCCCTCAAATGAATATGCAAAAAAAAAAACAAAGGTTTTAAAAATTGGTGAAAAATAAAAAAAAATTAAATTGGGGGTTTCTTTTTTTCCCCAAAAAGCTTTGATATTCATTTTTTTGGGGGGGAGCGGGAGTGCTAGGGAGAGAAGGAAAGAGTGGAACATGGGAAAAAAAGGATTATACATAGATGAAAAAAAAAAAAAACTTAAACCAAAGAAATGGTGAGCCAGGTTAGTTATCCAGATTGGAGTGGCAAACAGAGAATTCTACAGTAGTACACCAGTACCGGAGCGAATTGGGACTGTGGATCCAGGATGGGATCTGGGATGGAGTTAATGTCCCAAGGCCTTTGGAGATCTCAAAAGAGCCACCAAAGAGCCCTGTTGTGATGGCAGATTTCTTTTTTTGAATGGATTTGGACACAGCCAAAAACAACGGTCCGTCCACTGTACTCCAATGAAACTAAAAAAAAAAAAAAAGAAGAAGAAGTGGAACTGATGCTATTGCTAGAGGAAAGAAAAATCAAGATCCTTCTATAATCACTGACAAGGTTCCATGAGAACAAATCCATACACACAATAGGGGGGTTCACGATAGCTTTTATGGCTTCTGCCCCCCCCTAAAAAGATTCTTGCTGGCGCCTTTTTTATCTTAAATTTTAAGCTAAAAACGCGGGCGATAATTTGACCAACATCCGTAAACACTGCTGGTCATTAAATAAATTTAACCACCCACATTTGGCCCCCCTGACGTGTCATCTGTGTAGCATAGGCCATTCCGTCAGGTGATATACTTCATCACACTTCCTTCAGTCACACATCTCTCTGCATTCTCACATATCACATCTCATCGACTACCTCACAATCGGCCCTTCCCAGACTAGCCACTAATGTCCGTCAGTCAGGTAAGGAGGTTCCCCTTTTTTCTGGGTTATGTATTTGATTCAAAACTGATCAATCAGTTCCGCTCTATCCCCTGGCCAGCTTGATCCCACCCTGCTCACCCCAAGTGAGCGTTCAGGACCCCCTCCTCCTGGGAGTCAGACAAGCGGCCACGAGTTGACAGGCCTCACCCTTGCCTCCGACCTTTTGATTTTCTCTGGGACTCATTCCCCTCAACTTAGCACCCCCGCTGAAGGTGCGAGTGGTAAGAAAAAACGATCCCGCCGAACCCAGAAGGAAATGGCCGCATTTCGATCAGAGCAGGCGCAGATGAAGAAGCTCAAGGCCCTCGAGAAGGCAAAGGAGAAGCAATCAAAAGGTCGAGTTCGTGCATCTCGTCGTTCAACCCAGACATCGGCCTCAGATCAAACTCAGGGAAATTCAACTCAGCAATCAGCTCCGGTGAATTCACAACCTTTGGTCCCGGACACCAACCCCCCTTTCAACACATATGACTATGAGAATGTGTGTTCCTACCTTGAGGAGGAAGCTAACTATACTCGGCTCTATGGCGATGGATCGAAGACCACGGTTGGGAAAACTAAGGTTACTAAGGGAGCTGCCTATGACATGTTTGCCATCTGGATGAACAGCGGTTCAAACCATTGACTTCGTCTGACTGGAAGTCAACTTCTCCAACGGATCGACGGGTACAGGAAACAATTCATGAAGGCTAAAGACTTTGCCGAGAATACCAGGGCCAGGATCGAAGAAGGGGATGGCCTCCCCACCCTTGCGGAGTTGCTTGAGAAGAAATGGCCGTGTTATGAACGGATGTACGCAATCTTTGGTGGGAAGGCAAACATGACCCCTTTGGCTCAGTTTGACTCGGGTGTAGGTGCCGACCTATATGCAGAATCAACGAACGCGAGGGACGTTGACAATCCGAGTTTGTCCCCAGAGGTCTTCTTCTCTGGTTGGGAAGAAAGCGAGGTTGATCAACCCCCTTCGGGTGCAAACACCCCTGCGGCCGGCCTTGATTTGATCCGATGTCAAACCGCCTTCGATCGGCTTACTAGTCTCAATATACCGAACTCGGAAGGCGAGGGGGACCTGGACGATGATCTGCTCCCCCCACCCCTGGACTTCAGTGGGACGGCAATGGATCCCTCACCCAGCCTGATGACTCAACGTTCGATCAGTCGTGCGACTCAAGGCTCGGCAATCCCATCGGCCAATGGAGGTGTCTTGCTCCCAATGTCCTCCCAGTTAAGCACCCCAGACCCTGCTCGTCTGTCCCCTGTGCTCGGCGGCAGTGCCACCCGTCAAGCATTTCCTAATCAGCGATCGACGGAGGCCAGCCCTGCAGGACCAAATCGAGAGGGTAATGGGAAACCCAAAGCAACCTTGGCTAGTGCTTTTGAAAGTTCGAACTTGGAGAAATTTGCTTATCTGAAAGCGCACATGGCGTGGGAGAAGGAGAAAGAGAATAAACGACTGGAGTGGGAAAAAGAGCGTTACAATAAGGAGGTCGAACGAGCGACCAAAGGGGCTCAAGGTCAGGCCAAATTGGCTGAAGCCAAGCTGAACACCGCACAAGAGTGGATTAGTCAAGGGAAATTGTCAACCGAGGTTGACCTGCTTTTGAAGGCAATCTATGGATGAGTGCCTCTGAATCGTGAGTAATTTTGGCCTTTTTCCTTTCACAAACAGTCAATAAGCTGACTTGTTTGTCATGTCTAGTAAATTCAACCACTAGATTGCTATGGCCTCATCACAATACTTAGATCACTTTAGCCCTCTTATGTTATGACCAAGCATTGTTTTTTCTTTTCTCCTGCTCCGTGATGACTTTCCACGATTTCATACGTGTCTTGGATTTCAAATATGTTTCTCATGTTACCTGTGCCTATATAATTGAGCAATTTTTGCAACTATATCGAATACAATTGGATTAACCAGGGGCTTCATGCCCCCCCATTCTTGAGTCCACACGACTCACGAGGCAGATATTTCCGATGATGTGAACCACAAGTGGTGGTTTGATCTGTAAGTCCTGTATGAAACAGGACACCTCGGCCAGAACCGGGGGTCAGATCTGAGCCGGCTTTGGTTTCACTTGTCCAACATCGGCACATCAAGACTTTCCTTTTTGCTTCTTATCTCCCTCAATGTCATCGGCGCGGCAAAGACAGCGGAGGAGGGATCCCCCCTGGGACCTAGACGGTGTCAACCAAGGCCCCTCCAGCAACGACATATTACTACACTGGATAACAACCGGTGACAACTACCGTCGATGGGACAGTACAACCTTTGAGCCAACGGAACGACTGATGATATGCGAGGAAATAGTTGGGGTGATGCAGATGGAGGGGATAGCACATCAACAAGCCAGGGGTAGGATACAACAATATTTATATTCTCGTCTGCTATAAAGAACAACACGTCCTCATTCATGATTCTCTCAGGTATAAACACCCAGATTCAGATTTTGCGACGGTCTTACAACACCGCTCGTGAATTTGTCATTCATGCAAGAGCTAACACCGACGAGATAGACCCCATCATTCTAGGTAAGTGGAATATGATATTTCATACATTAAAAAGTGCGCTCTAAAATGAACAGGCTAATGACCTCCTGGCGACTCGTCACCCCCTAGGTTATGCTTGGAGGGTTTGCCAATACTGGGATCTCCTGGATCCCATTATGGGGCGGCCAGAGCAACCAACTGACCAAGGCTTCCCAAATGCAAATAGTGAAGCATCCTCTGACAACGAATTGACAAATACCACGTGATGAATAATAGGAGTAGTTAAATAATGAATATGTGTTCACATAAAATAAGCAAATGTGAAGGAAAAGATTCCTTGAGTCTATGCATGAGGTCAAACAGTGTGAGAAAACCAAGTGAGACAAAATGAGGTGAACTAAATAGGCAAGACACCGGAGGCGTAGTTGATCTCTAAAAATTTGGCCTGAACTACATCCCGATGTTCTTTAGCAGTATCTTCATTCCCACTCGCCCCTTGGGCTCCTGGATGATCGTTGACGCCAACGGAGACATCCAACTCGGCCCATGCATTGCCGAGGTGGGCCAGGATGTTGTGCAATGTAACACAACAATTGACCCATCAGATAACTTCCATCATGTCCGATGGCTTTTGAATCGCTAGTTGCAGTTGTTGAAGTGATGCCCACCGACCTTTGAGGATCCCAATTGTGTGCTCATTTTGGACACGTGATCGCGCAAGACAGTAGTTGAACTCGGTGTTTTCCTTGATGTAGGCAGCAGGAGCCTTGTATGCAGGGATACAGTGTACACCCAACTCATATGCCGAGTCAGCGATCAGATATTTTCCTGCCAATCGCCCCACAACCAGTGAGCGTTAGTCAGAAAATCAGATAATTCTTCATAGAAAACGCATGAACCTCGATCAAAGAACAAAGCCGGCTCCTTTTGGAGCATCATCCTCTTAAAAACCATACTATCCCCGCAAGTCCCCGGCCAGCCAGTCATGTAGGCTGTGATGAATCGGTCACAGTCGCATATAACCTGACAATTGATCGAGTAGTGCTTTTTTCGATCAAAGAAAACTTCACCGTCAATGGAGGGGCGCTGGTACAGGGGTATCGTAGTCCCGTCGACAAAGCCAACACAACCCTCAAAGCCTTCACCCTTCATCACATCCGATACCTCCTTTTGTCGATCCTTGTCTGGCCAGATCAGGTATTTCTCCGACAGATCTTTAATTGCCCGGGTGACCCAGCAACTCGCCTTGACCACAGTCCCGCGGCCCACACACAAATTCCTTGAGAATCGCCCCACAGAGGCGCCATTACCGTTTGATCCAAGTCGTTCGAGTGTCAGTGCCAATTGGTGAGGGATTGGCAGTTGGGGTCAAAAGCTGTTGCTATGAAAGATTGGGTTTAAATTGACTTGGCTTAACAGCCAGGTAAAGCCGGACTTGGTCGTACGGATCGCCTGCTTGAAATCTTCATCTCGCATATCAAAAAGCTGAGCTAGATCGAATTCGTCACGCATTTTCGGAGGCAATCGTGTATGTAAGTACCGACTAGATAGGACAAAATTAGGACCAAATGCAATAGATCTTTCACCATTGCCTCGTCGTCGAACAAAGCATCCAGTAACATAGCACGGCCGGGGTTGTCGGGCGCAGCGATCCTTCCAAGCAAGGGGAGCACAGGAATGTTGATAGTTGAATCGAGGAGATCTTTGGTCTCTTGCTGGTGGAGGAAGACAAGCATCCAGAACAGATCTCGGAGAATCTGCTGTCGTTCGCTGTATTGGTGCATCAGGGAGTTGTTCGTAGTCGGCTAGCGTCGGCAAAAAAGAGTTGTTTGTAGTCGGCTAGCGTCGGCGAAAAAGAGTTGTTCGTAGTCGCCTAGCGTCGGCGAAAATTTTTGGTTATGTGATGGGAAAGCAGTAAGCAGACTGATAAGGATTGCGAGGCTATTGTGAACGCCAGTAATGATATGTCTTACTGGTGAATAATTCTTGTGTGTTGAAAATCACTTAAAATTTTAACATGCGCAGCATTCGCATCCTTGCTGGTGGATGATTAAGCTTTGCTGGTCAAAAGCTATCGTGAACCCCCCTAATATAGTGCATCATCATTTTTTTTCCAAAATGGAAAAAAGAGAAAAAAAAGAACCTTGCAATCGGTGTTCATGTGTGACTACATAATTAGGAATGTAAGGTCCATTTGATGCAGATCAGTGAGAAACAAAGTGTTCACAAAAAAAAACATTGTGGGTACAGGAAATTTTCTGTTACATAGAGATCTCTCATTGCTATGATTATGGCAGGGGAAATCAATCTTGTGAGTCTGACTGAGGACAGAATCCGTCCTGCTTACAACACAACAATCCAATCCTTCAGCTCAGAATGATCCAATTTGTGATCAGGAAATATACGATAACTGGAGCGGACAAATTGGGAGAGATTGGTGACATGTTTTTGATGGTACTGCTCAACTGAGTTTGAAAAAAAAAAAAAAAAAAAAAAAAAAAAAAACATCAAGGTAATTACAAGCTTGGTGGAAAGATTGAAAATGGCCAGTCTTTTTGTTTTGAATACCAGTGTTAGGGCTTTGAGGTTCTTGCTGATGAGTCAATATCCACAGATAATCATTGTTGTGTTGTGATTCTTTTCAAGAACTTGGTTGAGACCAGAAAATGTGAGAAACAAATTAGAGCACTGGGGTACACGTCAGCAGAGGTGTTGACTTTGTAGTCAAATATCTCTTGGCCTTCAAGCAATTAACCATTGCCTCAATCGCTGCTCTTTCTTTCAAGAGAAAAACAGCTGCATTTTTGTAAAAAAAACATTTTCATAGATTGCTTTCTTCAAGTGCATGTTGTACAAACTGGTGATACCACCAACGGTGCCACAGATACGAGACATTTATTTGTATCGGATTGTATCGTATTTATTTTGAGCCTGATACCGGTATCAGTATTTCCTTGGTTGGTGAAAAAATACATTGTATCAGATTTGGATTTAAAAATGAAAAAAAAAATTGTCTTCGTTTTTTTTCGTTTTTTCTTCAATACAGCCAAATATCTTATGTATCAAATACGGTTTTGGTGGGATCAGTCATCTGAGACGATACAGAATACATTTCTCACTTTTCAAATACGATACATGTATATGTCTCAGGAAAGTGAGACAACACAAATCCGGTATTTTTGGGTATTCCAATTCTGAGACGATACAGATAAACGCCTGATACCGTATCGTATCGTCTCTGTGGCACCGTTGATACCACCAGTATGGCCAATTTTTATCAGGCTGTTTTTTGATTTGCAATGGACAGACAGCAGCACCATTGAGTTTGATTATCTATTTCTCCTGAATATGGAGCATGTTACTTTAGCAGATGGATCATCCAAGGGAACATGCTCTTGATTGAAGCCAACACTGGGCAGATATGCTGTGCTGTGCTTCTTGTCAAAACAGTGTTAGCCTAGTGCTGCTTTTTTTGAATGTTAGTGGCCCTGTTAGCAGGTTTGTGCTATCAGATGCTGTAGGGACACAGAACTGCTCACCAGTTCTTTAGCCCAGCATATTTTGGGGCCCTTTCTGTGTAGCATTAGTGCAGAGGGGGGAATAATTCCTCTGCACAACACTAAATTACTAATGCTAGTGTTACTGGCCCAGCAGTGTTGAAGCTTTTAAATTTCAATATCCACATCAATTTTTTGAGGTCTTAAGATCTGAGCAGCTAGAATATATCCATAGAAGTTGTATCCTATAAATTTTTCAATCATGAATTCTTTGTTGGAGTAACCTAAATGTTGTGTATTTGGCTGCAGTTGAGTAGGTTTTTTTGTCCCCTTTCATTGGCCCGGCAGTCCTGGATCATCAAAGAGAGATCAAACATGATTCAAAAGATTGATCTTAATCCTTGGCAAATCCACATTCACATTCAAGTTGATTTCACACATTACCTGCAAGATCCTTTCTCTTTTTTTCAATAATAATTTTTTAAAAACAAAAGTGTTGCTCTTCATGGAGAGATTCCAGACAAATCATATTTCATTTATTTTACTCTGTTGGAACCTGAAGAAGTGATTTATTTTATAGCTTTGTGTGTGAATTGGGACTAAAACTATGTAGCTAGTTTGATTTTCTTTTGCAATATAAGCAACTTGTAAGTCCTCCAGTACATCTACACCGTACTGTAGTTTAGAAAAAAAAACCCTGAGCTTTGAACGGGTGTTTTTACAAAACTGGGAGTGATCTTGTTGATACCGGTAAATGTTGTTGTGTGGATCTGAGCTGTTCTTATCAGTTCTTATCTGGTCATCGGCCAGTCAGATGATAGATTAGATTAAAGGGTGTAGTACTTCTATCGGATAACCAGTCAGCTGTTGGATGCTGTTGTACCAATCGGTGATTGATGGATGGTCTGGCTTATGTAAGATGATCATGGTCGTCATGTGATGTGATATGATGTGATGTGGTCCATCGGATTATAAAAGGGTAATGTAGTTGACCACTCACAGCAGGGAAACATCGGACTTGGAACCAAAAAAAAGCAGTCATGAGCACATCAGAACAACTACCCAGGGAGTTAAGAGACTCACTCAAGAACATCGAAAGCGCAATCCACGAACTAGAATCAGTCCAACTCAAACAACTATCAAGAACTCAGCATCAACAACAAGAACATGAGAAAGAAGACTCGTTCACATCGATCACCAATCAAATCAAATCAGAACTCAATCGAATCGATCACCATCTCGAGGTAAGCACAATCTAGTACACCTGATAAAGCACAAAAAAAATCATCAGACTGACACAAACACACACTTTAGGAACTTGAGATACTCGCGGATGAGTGCGAGGATGAATCGAGCAGAACGGAGGCACTCAGAATCGTAGAGGACCATCGGAAGCATGCAACCAGGTTAATAATGACCATCAACCTCCATGGTGCATTCAACTGTATTTTCGACTAACAGTAATTCTGATCCGATTGACAAAACAGACTCAGAGCGAGCTTCCGGACGATCTCCTTGGAAGTCAAACGAACCCTCGCCAACAACACGCTCCAGTCTTCAAGAGCCGAATTACTCAGTGGAGCGACAGCCAAGCCCGGTAGGTCATCAAACACTGAGGAGGCTTTGATGTCCGCCTCCTCCGACGTCACTCAATCTCTCCGGAATACTCTCGAGATCATGAGGCAGGAACTGGATCGCTCGGTAATGTCGACTCACTTATTAGGTCAGTCTCAGCCCCCCCAAGAACCTTCTACAAAAAAAAAAGAGATTAACTGAAGATCTGAAAAACAAAAAATTCTTGTATGTAGAACAACAAACGGCCACCTTACAACTAACTTCGGATCAATACATGAGTTTTGGAGAGTTAATGAAGACCTCAAGAGCGTTGATCAGTACGCTCCAACGGGCGGATCTAATGGACCGGATCTTGCTGACTGGGGCCCTCTTATTTTTCATGCTGGTGTGCATCTATATCCTGAAGAAGCGGATCCTAGACCGCGGAGTATCGGTGCTCTCGACCATCCTCACTCCACTCACACGGACGACCAAGACGATAATCAACAGCAATAACAATAATGTTCAGCCATCGTCTACTAGTGATCAGATCGTAGTGGGCTCATCAGACACCAATGATCAGATCCTCACCGCCGCCGCTTCTGCTGCTACTGCAGTCGCCGTCTCCCTCATCCCTGGCCTCGTCTCTTCTCCCGATTTGCCCATACCTCCTCCTCCTCCTCCTCATCCTTCTGGAAATCTTCCTGCTAAACCTCCTCCGATTGATGCCCATCCTCCCTCTGTTGATCCTAAACAATCCATCAAACCCGATCCTCTTCTTCCCTCTGACCATCCAGTCATATCCAACTTTGAATTGCTTCATGAAGAACTTTAAGAATAATCCACCCTTCCCTTTCTTTTTGTTTTCTCTCTCCCAATCCATTGATACTTTTTTTTTACCCAATGCCTCTCCCATTTACCAATGTTTCTTAAATCATATTTCAGATTCTTCTTTTTTTTCCATCATATCTTACCTTTTTAAAAAATTAACAATTACCTGAATGTTTGTTTTCAATCTATGACAATTGTGAGATTTACCTCTTACAAAAGTAACCAGTTTATTCAGCTTTGTTTATAAAAACAAAAAATAAATCATATTACCACTTGTTTGATTATCACCACCAAATTATGTTTCTTTTTTTTTTTGAAGCAGCTTAACTGTCCTTCCATGTTGATTGTTCTTTTCCTTTTTTTTGATTTGGAATGTGATTTTGTATTTGTAGAGAGTTTGAATGGTCAAGTGGAGAACTTCCCATCACAATCTACGAGCCTCCCAGAAGTTGATTTACACCCCTTAGATCTATTTTTTTCATCAAAAAAATATTTTTTCTGAAGCCTTCCGGAAACAGCTCTAATGTGCAAGCTGGTTAAAATCTCAATGGTGTTGTTAATTTAGGACTGAGTGAGGTGTTCAGTTTATATGTAAGCCTGTGGGCAGGGGGATGACGTAGGTGGCTTAATAACCAGCTTCTTCTCAACCAAAATAAAAAAAACACTTGCACAGCAAAACTGCAACAAACTATTTACTTGAACAGCAAAACTGCAAAACAACAACCAACAACCAACAAGAACAGGAACACTGCCAAAACCAGAAAGAAAGACAACAGCAACTTCAAGCAACTATCCCAACAGAACACCCAAAAAAACCAAACAAAAACCACACTTCACAACGGCCGACTCAAACGAAACCCACCAACCAACCCAATCGGGAACTGGTTCAACCATCAACCTCCACCCAACATTCACCCTCCAGAACCCAAGAGGATGTCCAGGGACGGTAGAGATCAAAGTCGGAAACACCACATTCCTAGTACACAAACAACTCATGATCCATGCCAGCCCATTCTTCGAATCCATCCTCACTGGCGAATGGGCTGAAACAACCGACCTAAACAACACCTCATCACCATCTTCCTCATCTGCTTCCTCCACTCAAGAGCAAGCATCCCCGAATCAACCTCAGCTCGACCAGCTCTACCCAACTAGCACTACCACCACCACCAACGACCAGCTGAGCGACTTCAACTCGACCACCAATGACGATCCATCCATCCAGCTGGAAGACGAGCCTGCTGCTATCCTCCCCTCTTCTGCTCACTCCCAGCCTCTCACCCTTCTCAGACCATCCATCATCCCCAACACTTCGAATGCCAACCGAATCGAAGCTCGCATCCTCCTCAAGGAAGAACGTCCGGCCTCATTCCAGGATCTCCTGATGTTTGTCTACCCTCATCTAGAGGTCAGTCCTTCATCTCTCTCTCTATATATATAACCCAACATCCAACGATTCCTTCAATTATCGCTGATCTTGCTCTTTATAACAGTGTGTATGCACCTGGCACAATGCCTCCGACGTCAGTACAAACCCCGCTCTCTTTGATGCAAGATTGACTAGAAAACAAGCAGACTGATTGTACAATAACCCACCAAAATATGTCACAGCTGATGACGATGTCACAAAAGTTTGACATGCCATTACTCCAACGACACGTCTTGAATTTCCTGCTCTCCTCGGTGGCCGGGAAGCCGATCGAGGCCATGAAGATCGCAGAGGAACATCAGCTATCCGAACTGTATCGCGAAAGCTCGCGGTTCTTACTAGATAATTGGCAGGGTTGGGACCATAAAGAGCTCGAACGCTTGAGCTCTCAAACGCTCCTAAAGCTCGAGAAACGGTACTATCTCCCTCCCTTCTTCTTGTAACCGAGTCACACACTCACATGAGGCTTTTCGTTTTGTTGTTCCGGACAGACGGACATGGTTCTTAGAACGCTTACTCAAACTAGGCCTCGTCAATTCTTCGCGTGATTATGTCTGTCCACCCTCCTGTCCCGACCCGCAACATTGCACGAAATTGGTCGACGATAAATGGAGGAGCGCTTGGGCTGCCTCGTTCAAGTTCGGCCCCCCTCAGGTATCCCGATTACCTACCACTCTCTTCCTGATCTTTAACCTCACTCAACTGTACACTCCTTCTGACTCTTGGTTTCTGTCTGTTGTAGCCTAGTAGTGTCTATAGGGCTTTGAGGTGTCTCGAACCTAGTTTACATAGTCCAGCATTGTTGTAAGTGATTACACAGTCGAAGATGGTGTATTTATTCATTTTTTTGAAAGAAAAACAAAAAGAAGAAAAACCGGATGGTTCTTCAAATAATCAAATCGTTCTTGATTGTTATATGCATAGGTTACCACATACGTCATGCCAACAACATGCGCTGCGTTTCTTTGCCGATTTATTTGACCGAATGTTTTCGCAATTCACGCCTCGAGGCCCAGGCGGGGGCGGCCCAGGAGGAGGAGCAGGAGGAGGAGTCGTGGGGCCGATTGGGGCCGCTACGGGGATCGGCGCAGTTGCGGTTTCCCAAACCGGCTCGAGCTCGTCGACTGCGAACCCTTTGATGGGCTCTATCGAAGCTACTCAACAGCCCCCAGGATTGCCCTATTATCTGGCGTCCTCAGTCGGCACTCCTACCCCTTCGATCCCGAGTAGTTCTAATACCACCGGCTTGAATCTCGGATCAACCGGTCTAACTACGCCCATTAACAACAATAATCATCATCCGGCGGCTACTGGATCTTCTTCTTCTAATACTACTACTGCTGCTACTAATGCTGCTGGTGGGGTTGGGGGTGGGCTGCATTTGACTACGGGAACTATCTCCGCCTCCAGTCATCCGCTCTTGCTTCTTCAGAACTCGGAGAAAAACTTCAGGAAGGCTAAGTATTTCTTGCACGTCGAATTGTTCGAATCGGTCGAAAAAAATCGCAAACGGATCGATTGATCGTTTGCTTTCTTCGTGATCTTTTGCGTTTCTCTTTCTCCAGCCCTCATTTATACATCTCTCTTTTTCATAAAAAAAATGTCATTGGGGCCGGAGCAATTTTCCTGTCTTTGGTGTTTGTTCCTCTCTCTCTCTCTCTATTTGGATCTTCATATAATCCAATCAATCCCCCCATTTGTTGCTCCTTCTCTTATTGTTTTTGTTGTTGTCTTTCCCCCTTTTGTATTGAGTTTTTTTGTTTCACCATCATCATCATCAACGTCTGTTTCTTCTTTTTCCTATAAATTGTGTATGTAGTTACAGATTGTATTAAAAGAAAAGAAAAGAAAACATCAAATTGGTAGTTGTAGATGGAATTGATTTATGAATATTGTGGCTTTTGAGGAACTGTTGTCATATATTGAGTCTCTGAGTTGGAAAGATACAATCAATCTGATGAAACGGTTGTTTTGACTGGAAAAATGAAAATCTTGACTCAATAGTTAATACTGCAGCCAAAACTCAATCCACAGTGACTGTGTAGAGTATCAAGTCACCACACAAAAAGAGTGATTTGTGGATCAGTACACGCAAGTTACACATACATACAAGGATAAATTCTTGTAGACCAATGATTCCAACTTTTTTTTCTTTCTTGTCTGTTTGATCTTCCTGGTTCCTTGTCATGAGTTACAGAAAGAAAGGTGCTCAAAAATTAATGGTAGAAAGTATATGTCAAGACCCTACTCAAAACCCTGAGCAAGAATAAACCAGTCATGTAGTATGTGCTTCGATTTGCTTGCGTCTGGAGTCGCGTGGAATGAGTTGTAAGCACAAGGACATGAATAATTAGGAACTTCATCCACCTTGTCAAAATCTTTGTTTTTCTTTCTTTCCTTTAGCTTAGCTCCCTTATAGGCAGCTTCATTGTAATACACTTTTCACTTGCTTAAACATGTGTAGAAGGTATGTATGTGTTAACCAACCAAACTTTGTTAAGCACCCAGGGCTGTTTTGTGGCTGGGATGTGAGAAGCCCTTAGAAGAGACAGCTGGAAGGGATCTTGCCGTCAGCTGCGAAGAGCCCCCTCTTTTTCGGCCATCATACACTTTAGCCACTTGGTCAATCATGGGTGTCGCATCTCTTCTTGTAATGAACATTATTCCATTCGGGTCACTTAATCCAGCCGACTAGTCCTTCTGACCACTCGCAGTATGGGCTGAAGTATGTCTTGGGTCTTGATTGCTGGTTGTTGATTAAGCTCAAGGATTCCAAGACAATGCGCTGTCTGGTTGTAGTGTACCCCCCAAAACTTGACAGCTCAACTTGAGAGTACCAGATGGCGGATGAAACCGACATAAGGGAATATTCGAAACCATGCACTCCATGGATTGCTACAACTGCCGTTCGGCATATGCATTCCTTTGTGGAAATGACTCTGTGATGTACCCCCTTGATCCATACGTACAGCCCGTATCGCTTACCGTAGAGGAGATACCTGGAGACAACTTAACGCAATCTTAATAAACAAATTCACCTTTCAGGCTCCCCAGGGCTTGCTGCCCGCTGATGCAGCACCAGTGAGCTATCTGACGCCCAATTTCCCAACCATGTCTTTGGGTCTTCATCGCCACTCTGCTCTCGCTCTAATGTCTGTCTCTCTTAGTGTGTGCATAGAACTCAATCTTGAGGGCTCAACGAATAACAACAAAAAGAATAAACTGTGGAGATCAAGAGTCTAGGGTTAACTAACCCCGTTATAAGTCTAGAATTCTAAGCAATTTTAGTGACCTTCAATTTGCTTGTGGTTGGTCATCAGGCCAGGTTCACAAAACCGGACATATGCAGATAAGACCTCCCCCCAAACGTAATAGCCTGGCCCAAGAATTACAAAGGGTATGTTGCAAGAGCTATCTGTCCAGAAGACAAACACATATTTTATCCTGTGAGGCTGACGGTGATGGTTCAAGTAAGTTTGCGCTAAAAGCGAATAAGGACCAAAAGGCTTTCGACCATATTGAAGGGTCGACCATGTTAGAATGTGCTTGGAAAATCAATGCTGTATGTTAGGTGTGGGATGTGAGTACATACAAGCATCATCCATCTCACGCAAAACAAATCAGATGGATAAAACCTGAGTAGCACGACTTACAGCACGGTGAAGGCATAACAAGACAGTGTGAATTGGGCATTTGCCTGTTATATATCTACATGACTTCAAAAAAAAAACTTGTACTAATGCTCTTTGATTGGTTTTTGTTTGGCTTCTTATATTTATCCAGCCATGCATACCTGTTGGTGATCTTAGCAAGTGCAACTCCCCAACACTCTGGTGATAATGCTTGAGTTATTTGGCCCTTTCTCTTTTTAAACCTAACCTGAACTCACATGTCTATACCTGAGAGTGATAAATCTCCTGTCTCTCCATCATCAATTGCTTCTTGACTTCAATTTTTGCTTAGGTTGTTCATGGATAGATCATGATTTGATCATCTGTCTGTTCTCCCATGTTCTTCTGCTGAGAAATTTTAGAAGTGTCTACCTTGTCAACCCCAATCAAATCCAAGTATCATGTTGGTGCAAATGCAGGTCAAATGAAACTGCTTCTGTGAAATAAAATTTTTCACATTGTGTTTGCAATAGTGGGTTTCATGATTGAAATTTCTCTAAAATTTCTTGAGTCCTTTTAAGGTTTTGAGCAATCTTTTTTATTCTTTAAAAAATTGAGTATTTGTGTGGATTGTCCAGAAGCCCACAAGTCTGCCCAACTTGTAAAATTTTTAAAATGTTGTTGATTATAATGTGTTGAAATTGGCTTGAAAAAAAAAATGATAAATTTCCATCACAAACCTCACTAGTAAAGCTTGGCACCTTCAAGTTCAGAGTGTATTTTGTTTTCTTTTACAGTGCCCACATTGGTTGAAAATCTGTGTAAGCCAAGGGGCCTAGCCACCATGACCTGCTCAATCTACACAATTTGGGCCAGGGCTCAGCTAACTTGTCAAAACTTATATAATACTGGATAGCTGGCACTAAATCTAGATCCCTCTGGCTTGTGAGCTAGCAAACCTGGTTTCTCCAAGATGGAGAAAGCTCCATACCTTCGCCCCATACATACCCATCTGGTCTATACAGACGATGTAAAAATCAGAGCCAAAACCAAAGAAAATCCACTTCAAGATTTGCAAGACAACCAGAATGTGCATAAGCCACGAGATCACCAATCTGGCTCCCCAAAGAAGATGAGCAACTCTCAAAGAGATGGATCCTCATCTCCTCCTATTTAATTGGGACAAATTGCCAATAATGAGAAGTTCTTTTTCTGTATTACTCAAGACTTCAAATGAAGTACTCCAGGACCTCAAAAGAAAACACTAGCCAATTCAATGCACAAATGTGTGTGTATGTTTTCATGATGGTGAACAACTGCTTGGTGCAATCCTACTTGAACTGAATACAAATTCAATTTTACCAAGCCTCCATAGATTAGAGACAGTCCCAAAAAAAACTTGAAAGAACAACTTTTTGTCAAATTCCCCTTGAGATCAAGATATCTTACATGCATATTCATGTCACCTGAAAAATATTTATGTTACATAGACACCACAAGCAATATCCCCAGGCAAACCATACTTTATGCTATGGCATCACGAGAAGCCAAAACCTGGAAGGTCGTATCGCCCCTTGGGTTCAAAATTGTTTCGGCTTGTGCCATCAGTCAGGTCCTCAGGGCCCAAGAAATTACCCCCTGCAGAGTTGTGTTCACCGAAATCTCCAGCCAGATCATGGGTCAGAGAAAGGCTGTGGCAGCATTCGACCATGCGATACGGATGGAGATTTCGGTGAGCTATTCTTCGTGCCACTTATACATTTGGCGCAAATTTAGTCCAAGCACCATTGCCTGTAATGTGAACAGTGGCCCAAGTGATGAACACCCACTATGAGGCAATTTGATGCAGGCAGATGGTGCAATTTGCACATGCTAAATTTCAAATGGCACTGCGATGATGATCTACCGCTGTCACTTGGGGAAAGAAAATCATTTAGAGCAAATCATGCAGAGAAACTGCCGGAAAATGGTGCAAAGGATGTTATGACAATCTAGTAAGACCTATACTGCTGCCCTGGTGCGAAATCGTCGCACCCTCTTTCTCGAGTAGCTGCCAAACTCTGACTTCGCGATTTGATTTCAAACAAAGGACTTTGGATAATGAAAATCATCAAGAGCAAATTGCGCAGAGAAATTGCAGGCGGAGGAGGCAACGGATGTTATAACAATCCCCTAGTAAGACCTATACTGTTGCCCTGGTGCGAAATCGTCGCACCCTCTTTCCCAGATACATAGCTGCCAAACTTTGACCTCGCGCATTTAGATTTCAAACAAAGGACTTGTGGCATACATCAATAGATATATGAATTATATTATCAGCCGAAGTTGAGTAAGACATTTGTGATCCCTCGATGTTATTTCCCTCTCCCAGATCTGCTGCAATTGAGAGCCGATGTTGTCAGTGAGACTTTGCCGTCTTTGGTAAAGTATCCGAGAGCCCAGTTGAGGGTCCCCAATAATTGGTTTAGATTGATTAGATTGATATGTCACTGCCATTTGAGGTATTTTGAATACAGTGGTCCTCAAACCTAGCGTAGCTAGGATGATCAGTTGGAACTTGGAAGTGAATCAACGCACTATCTTCCTGTTAATGTGAGGGCCTCAACCCTTTCTTCACATTGGAGCCCTCGCCCTCAAGAAAAAAAAACAGTGAATGAATGGAAAATGAATTTTTTAACTTTTGCCCTTTTCAATGGGATTTGGAGGCGCCGATTTGACGAGCCAGAGTATTGTCTTCATCAAAACGTAGTGTGTATGAAAGAAATTCTGCAGACTGCGGCATTCCTAGAAAGAAATCTTGTTATAGCCCCTCGGCGCTTGGGGAATGGGGATGTGTCATTACACTATCAAATTTCGGATTGTGCTATTGGATAGACAATAATCAGGAGAAAGATGCAAGATAATTTGGACGCGGATTTTTGCTTTCAATTCCGAATTTCTAATACTTGTCAAGCAGTCTTACCCAGCGAACGGTTTGTACATCAATTGCTCAAACAGCGATGTGCAGATTTCGAAGGACATCGGAGTTGGTTTATGTGCAGCTCTGTGCAGCTGATCATCCGCAACCCGCTTGACTTTGAACAACTCGGTATAAGCGTAAGACAACCCAAGCCCTCTTTAAAGGAGCTGGGATTAGACTGGGGAAAAGTGCATTTCTAATTCTTTGTATAATTATTTTAGACTTGGGAAGGTGGTGTTGGGTTATCAATCAACGGATACGCCAGGGCCGCCTGCCGCCAACCAACCTTTGAGTTCCAAGTCCCACATAAATTCCTACATCGTTCATCCCTGACTGTTCAAACCGGAGGATGAGGTGTACAATTCTACATACATTCGGGTTTCTGACCAGGTCCGGAATCTATCTCAAGTTCCTTAAGCTAATATGTACGGAGTAGCAGTTGGGAATTGATTGTAGGTTCACAGCAACCGGAACCTAACAGCAAAGGGCATAGTGATACCGCGTAAAAGCCAAGCCATTCATGAAAGAAGGACCCCCAGATTTTGACTTCAAATGATGCATCAAATTCTCCTCGTGTATCTCCCTTGGTCAGGAGGGATTGTAGGGATCCAAGCCTCCAAGGGCAGAGTTTGTGATAACTGGCATGTTTGTCCCACTCAAATTGACTTGAGATCTCTGGAAAGGATGATCAATTATCTGAAAAACAGCAATTTGACTGTATGGATCATAGTTCTATTTTCTCAGCCTCGATGTACTGGAAGCACAGGTGGCAAGTCACCCGGCGGGTAAGCGTAAGTTCACACAGTCAACCAGTTTTTACTTTGAACGTACGCGCTTTGATGAATTTTCCTCTCAACCAAAACAATTATAATGCGAGCATGCAAAGCTGTCAAGTTGATTGAGCTTGGTTGTGATGTGATCTTCGGGATCCTTAAGGATCGATGTTTGAATTCTGAAGTTGCGGAATTAGGGAGAGATGCGCCCAAATCCCTTTCAAGAGAGGATATACAAAATCCTTCAATTTTTTGTCAATTACATAGATCCCAGCTGCTCACTATGTTCGGCAGACTCCAGAGGGAGTCGGGAAACTCCGCTGTAGCGCCTCAAATCTGCTTCAATGACCTTTTTTATATTTTGCTTCATCCTTATTCCTTGCCATCGCCATCCCAGCTCTAAAAGGTCATACATAACAAAAATAAAGAAAGTTTTGATGAGAGCCCCGGTTTAATTCCGGCATTATCGTCTACATAAATGGCTTGCGATTAGTGTCCAAAATCATGTGTTTTTTTAAAATTTATGGAGTTTCGAACGGTTTTGCATAGATATGCAAGCTCAGGTCAGGACATGTATAGATTGTTTATGTATCTCGTCTTTCAAAGGAGTCGGTACACTGCTTCGGGACCATGTTGATCGGGATTTTGCATCGTGAGAGAGATCACGGGTGGGACTGTCGAAAGGTCAGGCGAAACCAGCGATCCAAGGTTTCCGGCTGGTGTTCTCTCTGCCTTCAGCGTCGGCTGGGCTCTTGGAGCATCACGATGGTCGTGAGGAATGAGTATAAATATTTGGAGTTAATCCCCAAGCTCACACAGTCCGGGCAGGCGGAATCTCGCCATCTCATCAGCGTTCCCCTTTATTAGTCAGGCCTGTTTCCAAGAGCTTTGTCCGTTCTGTATTTCGCGCTTGGTGATCACATTGTGCGTGGTTACCCCCCATCTAGACTGAAGGATCCTTAACAAACGTTTGAATTCGTGGTGTTACACACAAATAGTTTATATAAGAGGCCCACTTGCGAGTGCATATTTAGAATCCGGTCGCTGTTGTTCAGGATCAGCAAAACGTCTCTTCACCTGCTTCAGGGGTCCCGCCATCAACACATCTACTTATTTATAACATACCGCTACTTCTTCTCAGCTTCCTCTCGGTGAGTCAAGAGCTACGTTACTAGGTGCGCACGTTTTGATATGATTATTGTGTTGGATAGATATTTACAAAGCCGCACGTTTCCTTCTTTTGCCTAGTGTAGTGTCAGCGTAGCTTTGACTTGATTTGTCACCACCTTTCAACAATAAAAGTCACCTAGCTACTATGGTGCGTGGATCCCCCCTCCTGAATTTTATGTAGCATCCCCTCCACCCTGGATAGCCTGGGCGATTAAAAGCTTGACCAAGCTTGGAAAATAAACCCCATCACTCCTCCTTACATCCAATCTGCAGCTTCTTGAAAAAAAAAAAAAAAACATTCGAACTTACAACAATCATGACCTTGCCCTTCCTCTGCATAATGATCTTTGCACTTTGATACATATAGCCTCGCTCCATTATCTTAGACTCAAGAGCTCCGAGCGACCCTGAGCATTACACCTCCTCCGGCACTGCCCCACAAGCCGAGCAAACCCATTTGGCTATGCAATCAAGCTCACCCCAAAGCCAATATGTTCGGCCGAATGACGGAGGGGCTGAAAGCCACCAGTCTCGAATTCATTTGTAAGAATTATTCGTTTATTTATTTAATTCCAATTCAGTCCTTCTTCAAGACTGATGTGAGACTGCTGAGGAGACACCATCGATCCTTTTTGTTGTAACTGACGATCTTTTCTGACATACATTAACAAATTATCACCTCTTAAATTAAAAAGCCATCAGAAACCACCGCATGCAAGCAGTGAAAATCAGTTGATCGGCAGCCATTATGACTCAAACCTAAACTCAGCCTCCAAGGCAAAGGGCTTCCACACGAGTCATTCGACTAGACGATCGCCATCCCAGGCAAATGAGACGCAGCGGTTCAGCCCCTACTCGAATCCTAAAAAATTGGGTGTCTGTCTTCCCAAACTGTCGACGTCTTTCAATAATCCCTCCGACAAATTTACTAAACCGCGCAAGCGCACTGTTATCATCAAACCCAAGTACCCTAAATACGAAGGCTTAAGTAACTTCGCTGCTCCCAGAGACTTGGTCTCCGACATCATTCCTGGTAGCCGCACCATCAATCTTGACAAATCTAGTCCTCCGTCCTCCAAATCCGTGCCGTGCTTGACGCCTGAAAAAATGAGTCCGAAAGATTATGTGAACTCAATCGTCACAGATGACGGCCAGACGGAAAGCTCCTGCGTTCCGATAGACTTCTTGAAACGGCTGGACTTCGATGAATGGGACCAGAGGAAAGATAACTTGTTGCAGATGGTAGAAGATAGGAAGACGTTTTTCCTTCAGAATGGCTTTGCAGAGACTAGTGGAAAGCCATTCCTGCCCGATGAACAAGCGATAGACAAAAAACCAATTCCCAATCGATGGGTTTGGTACATGCACCTCAGTACCGAATACGATAAGGCCAAAAGTACGCGGGTGCCTGCCGGCGGTCCGGGTAAGTCCTCGTCTTGAATAGCTAATGGGAGCGATATAAGCATATGTAACTAACTCGGGCGATGTTTCATCACTTGTCCTGCTAGCTGGATATTTGAAATACGGATGGGATCGTCTTGGAGTGGCTGGCAAGCAGCCTTACCAAGAACTGGCGGACATCTACTCGGCGCAGCGCCTGAAATTCAGTAAGCTTGGTGGAATTATTCCAGCTACATAATTTTCTGCATGAACCGTCTCTCATGACTTGCCTTTGATTATTGTCCATATCATAGTGGCCGAACACGGAATAGTGGAGGATTCGACCAAGAAAAAACCCAAACAATCCGATAAGCCTAAGGCTCGCAATCGCTCATCACAGGATGTGTTCGCTGGTGGTGACAAGCATCATCAGATAGATGGCTGTTTTATGGACGAACCCCTCTCACCGCGCAGCAGAATGGCTCGTGCGATCGACAAAGGGATTTCCAGCAACCTACCTCACCTTCAACCCAATTCACCTTTTGTTCCACTCCAACCCATTCTTCAACCCAACCTATTCTATGAACAATTCAGCCAATTTTCGCATGAGAAGCCGCCGTGTGATTACGCCGATGGTACTTCCGAGACGTTTGAAATGACCAAAGCCCCCGGCTACTCCAGCTATCTCCAATCGCCAGAATTGATGTCTTGCGGCTTCTCGCCTCTGGGCTACGAAGCTTCTTCCTACAGCCACCGGTACAACTCCGATTCAACCGCTGACCAACTTGGCACGCCTATAGGATACCCGTCTTCGCCAACGGAGTATCCATTCGCTTGCAACTCAAACTCCGCGTTTCCATATCAAGCTACATCGGAGTTCCAAACTTGGTCGACCTTATCTCCAGAATCAATCAACTCAGGTCGTTCAGAAACTGTAGGGGTATTCCCTCCATCTTGTATGAACAACAGCACGTTAGACCCTGCGGCGAGCTATTCTAGTCTAGCACCAGCGAATGGATTCCTCGAGCCTCTCAACCGTCACGAGATAGACTTCAACGTACTTCATCCCGGAATCAATTATTAAGCTGTCCTATTTCTGTACTTTTTCTCTTATTCTAGTTGAGCAGCTCAAGCAAGATATTTTGAATCCTCATGTTGCGAATATCAAGCTTGTACTTGACCGCACTGCAGTATATCGGAATGACCCCTTTGTTACAGTCCAATTTTCTCGAATGGTGTATATATATATATATATGAATTTGATCATTCCCACATTATTTGGCGTTGTAGTTCGTGGATCTCAATCTCTCCCAATTCTTTTATTTATCAATCTCGCTTTGATTTGTGTACGAATTTTTGTAATTTACCAGACTGTAAGAAGTACTAGCTAGCTATTTGAACCTCACTTCCAAAACTCTGTTTTTGCTGCTGTTGTTTGAGTGCGGATATATGGTTTTTGTTTGACAATTTAACATTCAAGTTTGGGCATCCCTCTTCGAATCCACATCTCCATGCATTGCTAGCCCGGGGTCCTCATCAGTTGGTTCCATCAAAAATTCAATGAAGGATTCTTTGCAGAAGAAATGTCTTTTGCTTTGATTTTAATTTCAGAAATCACTCAAATGAAGCGCATTGAATTTGCTATCATATGCTTTGCCGAAAAATCAAGGGGTTCCAATCCATTAATTTCTGGGAAATTTGGCCGGTTGGGAGACGGATGGATGCTGATTCTTTTAGGATTTTATTTCATTCTCAGTGGTCTGTTGGAAATGGTTATGAATTCGATTTTAGCAGAAAACAAAAAACACCAAAACATGGTGTAACACACCATGGATTAGCTGTCAGTGGCCACACTTATTCATATGAATCCGTTACTCCAGTAACATCAGTGAAATACTGCTGTAATTCAAGAGCACCTGTACTGGTGGATAGTTCTGCACAAGGTACGTGACTCACTCACCAAATTCAATTCAACTTGGTGATTGGGTTGGCTCAGGTTGGCTCTCTGGCCAGTTGAATGCCAACGAGGGCATTTACTTCAATCCATTTCTCTTCCAAAACACTAAAAGAAACATTAAATTAAAACCACACCATGCACTTCAAGTTGAACTGACAAGACCATCAACTCACGCAGTTCTTGCAGTTTTGAGTTTCCCATCCCCATGAACTAACTGGGCTCTCATTCATCATCATCATGTTTACTTAAGTACTTCTGAAACCAGATGCTTTGAAATATAGTAAGATAGGTTTACAAAAATGCAAAGTTACATTAATTCAACTGCTGTAGCTCAGTGTAGTAACTTCCCAGTGTTACAGGATATCTCAATCTAGTTACCAGCTAAAAGTGATTTTGCTTGTCTCATGGTGTATTGTAGAAGGTAGTTCAACCCCCTTAATCACATTTGATGTAAAGAAACATCAATCATGCAATATCCACAATAACACATTATTGAGGGGTAAAAAGCCCTAAAAGAGCAAAACACCAGTCATCAATATCCCAATATGCAATTTTTTTTATCAAGGTGGATATTGTAACAAGTCAAAGATGGTAGTGATAACACCCCAAAATGTTTTAAACAGCATGTCATCATTGAAAGTATCATACCTATGTGTTGTTGGTTTTACCTTTGAAACTACTGACTTGAAGTTGTCCTGTTGTATTTGTAAGCTTATAAGATATTATAAGCTTATCCCATCCCCTTGCCTGGGTCTTGAAGCCAAAATATTGGATGTTTGGTAGATACAAGCCTATTATGATCTCAATGTGGGATGCCCCAAGAAAGGCTTTGTTGAGATGGAGATATCATAGGCTTCACATGCTTTGGTAGTTTCATCTAACAAGGTGAGTTTCTCAACTAAAAAATTGGGGAATTTTATCCAGGCTGGCTTACCAACTTGATAAAGATTCCCTCATAGTACTCATCTTCCCAAATGGAAAATTATGCATTATTTTTGGAGGCTTGGGGAATTTCAGATTTTCAGAACTGTACCCTTAATGGACTCGATCTCACATCTAATCACCTGCTCCCCAAGCCACTTGACAGATGTCAAAGCTGCACTGGACCATAAAAACCTAAAAAAATATCAAAAGAACAGAAACCTGTCCTTTATTCTATAGTTCATGGTCAATTATTGGATGACTAGCCCAATTGGAAGGGATTTAAGAATACTTCAAGTCAGCTCAAAGCTAGTTATAATACAATACTTGGTACATAACCTGAAGGCAATAAAGTAGTTAATTCATGTATTGCTCATTTTGAAATCAGAAACCAAACCTTGATGAATTTGACCTCTGCTGGGTTTTTCAGGAAAGGGAAGCTCCCTTGAGGGTGCATGATCCTATGGTTCAACAACTGAGAATTCTACATAAGCAGAAAAAACTTGTTGAAAATCTGTTTTTTTTTTTTTACTGCAACACAAATTGCTTAATCTTTTTAAGATGTACTCAAGCAGGTCAAGATTCCCCGAGGAGCCGCATGGAATGCATAGCATGTGGTTCGAAGGATAATGCTTACATTTGAACTCGCTCTAGGGCAACTGAAGGAGCATGATGCTGACCTTATGGGAGATGTGATGGAATTGAAAGATGTTTCTTCCAGTGGTGTGTGGACATGTCGTCATGTTCAACTGGATTTAAAGAATTCGGCGTGGTTGTTCAGTTGATTGAGGATTTGCTGAGCAAGAAGGTCATAGTTATTTGGAATGCTACTCTCGAGTCATGAGTCTGAAGTTTAACCCTGGTGGGTGGTGGGGTGACTGGGCTGAGTTTTTGTCAGCTGATCGATCGACACAGCGCGAGTGAGCTTCCGCCCTTTCACAGCAACCTGCACAACCCCACTGGCACTTCGTATCAGCAAAGCTCCAGCCACTATCTCGCTGACCTCCTGGACTCGTTGGATACTTCGAGGATGGCGGATAACGACCATCAGGAAGCGCGTCTCGTCCTACAACGGAGGGTAGTCAAGATTATCTTCTTCTCCTTACTCTTGGATCTCCTGGGTATGTATCTGAGTCTCTGCTGTTCCAATACAAGCTGGGTTTCCTTAACACTCAATCTATCATCCAGATTCTGTCTTTCATAAGGATTTGAAAAAAACATATTCCTAGGAATAGTATACTGACTGGAAAAAAAAATGATGTTTGAACGTTTGTAGCATTCACAATGCCGTTGCCACTCTTCCCCAGATTGATCGCTTCGTTTGTGGAAGCAGAAAGATCCCATGGCGTAAGCTACTCATACCACAACTCATTCCTCCCCCAGGCATCGGATTGGAGAACATCAATAGGATTCTTAGGTCGTAGAAGGCAGAGCCCAACTTCCAGTTGGCGATCACGGTCGCGTGAAAAATGCTGGGACGACGTCTGCGTGGTTTGAGATTCTGATGGACCGTCTCTTATGTTTGGCTTGAACTCGATAACAGGACACAACATTACTCTCATCAACTTTAAACACAATCAGAGCGTGTAGGACCGCGTTGGCCTCCTGGAGATCAACTCCTTCATCTCAGATGACTGTCACCAGTAATTCGAAATGGGATGTGACTATTCTTGGCGGTTAGTTCGATCTCCTTGGGGTCCCTTTTCATTCAAATGTAAAATTATCCCGCCTGAGATAATAAGCATTCCTTACAGGTATCTTGGGTTCCATCTTTTCATTTTGTCAATTCCTCATCTCGCCGGTGATTGGTAGACTATCGGATAGGTTTGGACGCAGGCCGGTCTTATTAATGACGATGATCGGCAACATATTCTCGGCATTTCTATGGTTGACCTCGACGAGTTTCGGACCGTATGTGCTTTCACGAGCCGTCGGAGGGCTATCAGAGGGGAACGTTCAACTGAGCATTGCCGTCATCAGCGATGTCTCTGACCCGACCAGTCGGGCAAAATCTCTTGCGCTCGTTGGGATCGCCTTTTCGCTCTGTTTCACATTCGGCCCGATGTTGGGCGCCTGGTTCGCCATGCGAAGTCCTCCGCTTCAGGCCACCAAGCTGCTTGGTATAGGATTGAACGTCTATGCCGTCCCGGCTCTCATCAGTCTCCTGCTCCTCCTCCTCGAAACGCTCTACCTGGCAATCGCTTTGCCAGAAACCAAACTGTTACGGAACGCTGGTAAACTGGGAAGCAAACCAAAATCAAATCACGTGAATGATCAGAAATCAGCACCGGGCTCCTCTTTCGAGCAACGTCAACTGCGGCTTAGAATATTGGCACAAGTCCACACCGCCTTCTTGTTCTTTTTCTCAGGTGAGAGACTCGAATCACTTTCATCTAACATTCTTTTTAGCTCAGGTGAGAAAAGTGTATTGATGAAAGACCACGATTGATACGCAATAGGTGCAGAATTCACATTGACGTTTCGTAAGTCACTTTGTCTTCAAAATGATTGTTTGTTCTGATATGGAATTATGGTGGATGGCCATAAGATTTGCACCCCCCCCCCCCCCAAAAAAAAAGAGAAAACCATGACTGATGATAAATTTGTCTTGTAACAATAGTTACCTATGATCTTTACGGTTTCACGAATGCACAAAACGGGAGATTGCTTGGATTTATTGGTATCCTATCTTCCTTACTTCAAGGAGGCTATACCAGACGGTCTAAGAAGCCGCCGCTATGGTTCGTCAAGTCGGGACTGAAGGCATGCATCAGCTCCCTAGTCTTGCTCTCGGTCTTGCCTTTCCTAAGACCAGAGGTAGGAGAGCGAGTAGAGGGGACGATCGACCGCCTGAGCGCGCTCTTCCTTTACAGTGCCGCGGCGGCACTCGCCTTCGTCAGTGCTTCGGTCGTGAACTCCTTGAACACCTTGGCCAGTCTTGAGTGCGACGAGGATGATGATGATGACCAGCAGTCGACTGGGGCACGGAAGATCGCCCGAGGAAAGGCTCTCGGCGACTTTCGCTCCGCCGGCCAGCTCGGTCGCGCTTTCGGGCCCCTCTTCGCTACAGGCTTGTATTGGACTAAGGGGCCGTCGCTTTGCTATAGTCTCTGTGCCATCGGTACCTTTGCAGTCTTCTTCCTGACCAACCAATTCAACCACCTTCAACCCCGTCTACCACCAACCCCTGTTCATCCCAAAAAACTTCAATAACGAAGCCATTCAACAATCTTCCTGTTCCCTTACCCCCTGCACATCCTGTACCAATCGTCACTGTTTGTTGAACATCGACTCGTTTTTTTCTTCTTCCCTTCAGCGCTTTGATTGTTATTTTAAATTAGCCTGCTGCTTGTTCGCATCGTGATCATTCTATGGACCTATTTTCTCTTTGTTTATGAGAATATCAAAAGAGATTTACCTCAATCAATACCGTTGTCACTTTGCCCACGAGTAGATAATCTGTTCACTCATCCTAAAAGTGATTAGACAGAAACAAGAATGAACCCATTAGAATAACTCCACGAGCTTCAATTGGTAAAAAGATGCCTGGTAGTAAGTTATGCGTAATCAGGTATTGTAAGTTACGATTGGTATTAATTAGTGCTTCTCCTTGAGAGTCAATATGCAGGACAAACTGATGCAAAAGCGAGTTGAATTAGAATACCACACGGAGATCCAAACTTGTGGACGATAATTAGATGAAAACACATGCTAATAACCAAGACACATAAACAGTAACAGCCCTTTCAGTACACTCAAAATCACAGATTAAAGTGAACTTGATGGGAAACATAGGTTTGATGGAATCGCAAGAGAACAGGAAGCAATCAAGCTGGGTGAATGTCAAAACAGACAAAGGGAACCATCAAGGAAACCGTCAGACTGTCTAGATGACAATGGAAAAAAGCGTCAGATCGATGATGACTGAAAAAGAAAACAACTGATAGTTAATTGATAAGGACATGAATAATGAGTTAAACGGTTGATCTGAACATTCTTGTTTCAAATGAGATCAACTAAACAATCGCCACAAGTCGGACTTCAAGAAGAGGATGTCTATATAGTTGCATTTGACTATAACTCAGCATTTGGGACAGGACTCGTGAAAGAAACTTGATGCCTCGGTGCCAGACTAGGATTTTATTTGTAGGCCATCTAAACCTTTGGTGCCGGATCTGATCATCTTCGAACTTCGTCGGTGATATCGGCTTCCCCTTCCCATACATCCGGCTCGCGGGGAAGCGTCGGAGTAGGCGTAAAAACAACAACGCACGAAACCTATACGGAAGCCGAATTGCAAAAGCCAACCAAGAAGAGGAGAGTCAGGGCTTCCATTTAAGTGAGGTATAGCCATCAAAAGATTTCATCTGCCTAGATCGTTACTCACGATACCAAGGATAAATCCTACCCCACAGTTCCAAGTAATGTTTACCCACTGAAATATCGCGACCTCAAAGTGCAATATGGCCAAATGATCAAAGGCTCCTAAAACTGAATCACGAAAAAAAAGCTCAATTGATCTGTGCATTTTTCCTTATGATGCGCACGTATGAGACTTGAACGTACTTAACAAGATACAGAGGATGATATAAGACAGCTTGACAAGTGCTGCAAGGACTATGTGCCAGAATGTATTGATGGCATACCGTCTCAATTTTCGATAAAAAAATGACATGTCCTTCAGTCCATCGCCGATGATTTGCTCCTGAGTTTTCTGGAAAGGTCCGGAATTCCAAAGCCGAGCAGAGACTTTATTTCCTCTGTCAAGACTCGGTAAATATTCCTTCCAGTGAGACACGAAGATCATCTTGTCCGGCATCGAGCGGACGGATCCGCATATCGAGTGGGCTGGAGAAGCAGGAGAGATCTTGGTCGGGTTTGAGGGCTCCGATGAACCGCACCATTCGAAGTCAACTTGAGCAGCCTGGATCTCCAAATCGATTTGTCTTGATGCCGCTTTCCGTAAAAATTTGGCTTGAAAGTAAAGAGCGCCTAGGATCCGATGCGAGCACCAAATCAAAGAGATCAATTGGATGATTGCGACTATTACCATGAAAATACACGCGTTCTTCAAATTCCTTCGAATCGCTTCCATGGATTGTACCATATTTTTCACTGAAAGTAGAGCCTGAAGCTGACTCTCGAGCCTGATGACTGGGGTTGAATTCGGGTCGAGCAAGCTGGCATACGAGGATTGGTATCTATCATACGAGGACAACACGGTGTATGATTCCCGGATAGCGGTAAATAGCCACGGCAGCGTACCGAATAAGGACATCAAGTGGGCGGTGATGATTAACGGGTTGAATAGACATGCTGGAATCGGCCGTTTCATAGATTGTGGCGGGTAAGATGAACCACTCTTCTGATTCGCTTGTGCCAACCGATATCTAGATGGCGGCATAGCGTAAAATAAAGACCATACTATTCTTCGGAAGATTCAACAGAAGGACATGCCACTTGAGTTACACCTCACTACTCATCAATTTGAGAATCTGAAGAAGAAGAAAAAATAACGGACCTTTTGCCCAACCTGCAGAACATTGAAAGTCAACCAGAAATGAAACAATCCACAAGAGAAAATTGGGTTAGAACTGCGTTAAATCGCATATGGCTTGCACAACGGAGGCCTACTAACCAAAGCAAGCTAAAGGGGCAAAGGATGCGAAGTGGCAAATAAGGGTCCGGGGATGAAGATGAGATTGGCAGTCTAACAACAAGCTGATCGAATGTGCCAGATTTACTATCATTAGACGCAAGCAGAAAGAAAAAGGTCAGATCGGTGAATATTTGGGTGACAGGGTAATATTTCTTTCCTGGACCAGAAGGACCTGGTTTCTTTAGTGCCACCTATAGAAATCGGAATTTGAGAAAGATCAGTAAATACCCAAGGTAAATGTGACCACCCAAAATGTAAGCATAACCCGAGTGTGCGGGTAAAGGTATCCTCTTTCATCGACCTTCACCAACCACCACCCGTTTGTCTGGCACCTTTTCACGGCACTGATCAGGTAAAGGATGGCTGGAACCGGGCCGATTATCGTGACAAGCCAGATGATAACATGTTTCGGGCGAGAGATAGAAGAGTTATAATGGCTGTGGATACGTTGATTGAGCACCTCCCATTCTGCGGGTGTCGAGGGAATCTTGAAGCTCATTTGGGATGGAAGTAATGCTTTGACTAAGGGGACAAAAGAGTGTCGAAAGAAGTTGAAGATATGGGTCGGAAACAGGCATGCACCATTCCTTAATCATCTGGCTGGCTTTGATTTCGAAAGTTAGAATTTACAGACAAGCTGCGGGGTGCCTCCAATGTTCTCTTGATTGAACAGAATGATTGCATTTCTTGCTCTTAACTTTTTGACTTGCAAAGGAAACATCGAGACTTTGCGTGCATAATTGTATACCAGGCGTGGGTTGGCTGGTCATATAGCTTGAGGCTAGGTCCCACGACCGCGTACCCCCCGTGAGCCAGTATAAAAATCAAGTCAAACTTTAGCATGCTTCTGGTTAATTTGTATGAGACTGAGAAAAAAAAAAAGGTCAGCGATCATGGCGGCCTGTCACCTGTGGAAAGCGGGTGGGAATTGTCGGTTTAGTGATCGAGAGTGATACGGTAAAGTGGCGTCTGCAAATCGCTTTTTAAACATTTGGTAAAAAGCTAAGAAAACGCCAAACGGGAATGGGTCTGACTCAGCTTTGTTGAATATCGACCTCACAACCATAAACTAAGTTGTTAGTCACTTACCCTGTGGGCCTGTACCCTGATGCAGTGGTCTGGTTGTTCAGATATCACATCCACAATCCAGTGGAGGACTTCCCGCCGTCCAAATCTGTAAATTTAGAAGGACATCCTAAACGTTATTTGCTGGCAAAAATTGATCAAGATCAAGTTTTCACCAGCCAATAGAGTTTAGGACCCCCTTCCAGATCAAGCGATTTAGGTGACGGGAAGTCCTCCAGTTCTGATATATCCAGTTGTAAAGTTGTGGGTCCCAATGTCAATAGATGTTGGCTGGCTGCAAAGCATTTCAATGCTGTGTGACTGATGCAAAGTGCCTGGATACAATTCAAAGCACCAGAAATCCTGAAAACATATCAACTGCCTTGGGTCACTTTGGACAATTCTCCATGACCTGCCCATCTGGTATCACATCACTGGAAATATTTCTGGACAAAGATGTCCAAATTCAATAAAACCATAGGTTTGTGCACACTTGGAGTCTTGGAATGTGGTTTTGGGCTGTGGCCACTTCAAATTACTCTTCATACATTGCAAATGGTGTTCAAATGTCCAATAGTGATCTCCAAAGACTTACATGGCTCTCTCCACTCCAGCCTGTGGTGCAGCACCAGAGAAACAAAAAAGCACAACAGACCACCTCTGCCAGTAGTGAGCTACTGCACTAAACTGAACAGTACCCTAAAATTAGCATCAGTGCCCCTGCCTGATCACACTGATGTGGTTTTAATACACTTTCAGTGCTGCAACTGCTACAATGGATAACCCCCCACAATGTGCATGATAAGTATGTGAAAGAAAGAGGAAAAAGGTACCTCCACATATTTCAAAATCCCTTAATTGTGATCATATCTCTCAACAGCCACTGTTTATGTCCCATCCATACGGTTTAGGATCCAAGATTTTTTGGATGTATGAATTTGTGGGCTGAAAAATCCAGTTTTTTTTTCTTTCAGACTTTGAGGCTCTTTTTAGCTTTTGAAATGTCTGAAACTTACAGTAGAGCATTTACTAACACATAAAATAGATGCTACAGGTATGATAGAGGAGCTTGATTACATTTTAAAAAATCAAAAGCATCATTCAAATTTTTATTTTCCTTTTTTTTGTTTAAAAGACAAAATAAAGTGGGGAGGGTATCTGAGAGGTGGGGGATAATGAATATGAAATATAAAAAAAAAGAGAAAAAGTCAGAAATAAAAAACAAAAAAATCAATATTGGATTGGCCCATCAGAGGGCTCCACAACCATGTGCATTTGGTTGGGAATTGACTTGACAAGGAATCCAAGTTGATCTGCTGGGATGATGCCCCACCCCTGCTAGATAGCCTCCTTCATCTTTTCAAGGGACTTGGGTTGGTATTTCTTGACAATTGCAGTCTTCATAATTTTCCACAAGTTTTTGATTGGGTTAGAGATCGTTCCATGTTACTCCTTGCTAGGTACCTAGCACCGCCCCGCACCTGCCAGGCGGTGCCAGGTGCCAGTTTTTTGGCAATAAAAGCAACAGTACCCGGGTACATCCCCCACATTGCCTTGCTGACTGGAGGGGTTTCCTTCTGGTCAACGAGGAGGTACCTCGTTGATCAGAAGAAAACCCATCCAATCAACAAGGCACATTACCTCATTGACCGGAAGGGTTTCCTTCCGGTCGACAAGGTACACTAGCTACCCTTACCAAGCCAAACAATCATCAAATTGAAACCCCCTTGTCCTGGACCAAATGAGCAGGTGCAGTCCCCAACCCACTTGGCAGCCAACTGGCTGACAAGTGGGCATTCAATCTCATGAGTTTGCAAAGGGCCAGCATACTGATATATATCCCCTCAGCACCTGACCCCCAACCAAGCAAAATACCCCTTAACAACAATCAAGGCCGAACAATTGTTGTGGCAGATCAAACCCCCTTGGCCTAGAACAATTGAGCAGTTGTTTTCAGACCAAGCTGATTCTCCGGCAGTACTTATCCCCTTGTCTGCTACCCTCTAATCTATCAGCTTTTTTTAGCTGTCAAACCTTGCCCTATCGGCTTGTGGTTTAGCTGTCAAACCTCAACCCGCGCTGTAGTGTGCCAAATGTGTTTCAAGTACCAAATTGCATAAATTCATGATGAACTCTTGATAATAGGCTATACTCTTGGTGTTATTATTGTTTAAATATATTCTATGGGTCATTTCACCCATAGTCACTCACTAAAACCACTAGGCTAGCTCCACTCAGTCAAACATTATGTGGGATTTCAATATTATTTGCATGCAAAATGCTTATTGCATGATGTAAACCACAAGTTGGACACATTGTTTGTATGTACACTGAGAATTTTGTATAGTGGGAAACCACAATTTGACCAGAATTTTAGATGCATATCCATTATTTGTTAGGGCTAGGGCCACAAGCTGGTCATTACATATTTTCATGTTAGGGCTAGAACCACAAGTTGGCCATTTAGAGATTATGGGTTAGGGCTAGAACCACAAGTCAGCCGAGTTGTGAAATAGACTATTTAAGGAGGGCTTTTCCCCCTCATTCCAATTTTTTTGATCATCTCATCACATCAGATCATCATCTCATCTGATCAGCAACCAGAGAGAACAGAGCAATCAATCCATACATTAACCATTTTTTATCTCAATCAAAGTGCCCCATTAAGATCTTTCATACCTTGAGAAGCATAGAAAAAGGAAAGTAACAACCAGTACAACTTGTGCTCCTAAAACAGGAAAAAGTGATCTTAAGCCATTGTGCTCTCACACAAGATTAAGGAGGAAGGGAAAGACACTTTCAATAGTCACATTTGCCCTCAATATCATCTCATAAATTCCCATTCATTATCAGTACATACACCAATCATTTTTTCAATATACATAAACTATATAAAAAAAGGGGCTTGGGAGTCGGCTCTCCATTATTTGGGAGTCGTTTAACCAAGCCCCTAAAAAAACACCTCTTAGTTTACTCAACAATTCCACTCAAATAGTCTGCTGAATCTACGTTGATCTAGGTTTGATAAGAGACTGCTACACATAGTTTTCTCTATCATCAGTTTTTGCCACAACAATAAATAAATTGTTGTGTTAACTCTTGTGTATTGAAATAGAGGGGCAGGTCTTTCAAACCAGCCATAAAAGTTGTAGTAGTTCATTACATACGTGATATATCTCATCTGCTATTTCCCACTCATAGGACTGCCACCAATCCCAAAGGAGTTCTCACAGCGCTGTAAGACACAAAAGTGGTTGTGAAACCCTTTTTATGAATGAAGAAGGGGATGATGGAGTTGCAAGCTCTGCCCTTCTATGCTATCAGAACAACAAGACCGCCAAGCTTAGCTTGGCAGTTATATTTATCGTGATAGAGGATAGTTCAAGATGAAGCTTCCGAGTGATGTGTATAAGGGTATGAAGTTGTTAATGAGTGATGATTATATTGATGGAGTTGTTGTTCAAAGCTTTAATACCAAGGCTTGGAGCTCTGGGAGTGCTATGCTTCAACCAGTAATGGTATGTGAGGCAGGTTATGGGCACTTGGCACTTGTTATGATGATGAAACTGTTATGGTTGTATTTCAATATAATGTAGTGTTATGGCTGTCACTTGTATATAATCTGTAAGGGTGTTTGAGATGATCTGGTCCACTGGTGGGATGATGAAGGGAACAACTGGCAGGCAGAGGCCTCCTTATATAGACAAATGTGAGGGATTTTAGCCCCAGGGTAAAGGCTTTTGAGGTATTTTAGCTGGCCTGAAGATCCTATGAGGGAATTTAGCTCGTCTAGTACATGCAGGGGAGGGAATTTGGCTGGTGAGAGCACTGCCTTGAGGGAATTTGGCTAGCCTATAAGGTCCTACTACAAAGGAATGCATGTGCACCTACAAAGGAATTCAATATGCACTATGTGCCAATAAAGGAATTCAATACAACACAAAGGAATTCAATATTCAATATGCATCCAGTATGCAAATCAAGCTATACTGAGAGTAAAGAGTCCAAAAGATATCCCGTGATAGGTTGAAATCCGCGTAACTTCTAAACTATGAGAGATATGGGGTCAGTTGTAGTGAGTGACTAGGGGTAATTTTACCTGAGAAATCCATTTCTGATGTTATTTTTACCATATATATAATATATAAAGAGACAATAATAATTTTTTTATATTTTTTTGCATAGAAACACAGTATTATTTACCACAGCGCCAACTCCATTGGCTCAATTTTTAGCCGTCAAAACTGGACCGGAAACCAATCAATGTCTTGTTGATTGGAAGGGTTTCCTTCTGATAAAAAATTTACCTACTTGTTGAGCAGAAGGGTTTCCTTCTGATCAACGAGGTACCTCCTTGTTGAGCGAAAGGGTTTCCTTCCAATCAGTGAGGTACATTACCTTGCTGATTGGAAGGGTTGCCTTCTGATCAATGAGGAGGTACCTCCTTGTTGAAAAACCCTTCCAGTCAATTTTTGAATGCATCTACATCCACATCTCCTGTTTGATTCAATCCAATCTCTTTCAAAATTCCCTCAAACATCTCACTTTGTAATTTATTGAAATGTGTTACAACCAACGCTGCCACAGATACGGTATTTGCCCGTATCTGCCATGTATCACTATGTATCAGGAGGTACCACAGGTACCACCCCACTTCCCTAACATAGGGTGGGTGGGTTGGCCTGCATATTTTATAATAAATATGAAAAAAATTGAAAAAATTGACTATACACTTTCAACAGTACTTCATATCCAGTACTGGATATGCAATATTTTTTCCTTTTTTTGTTAAAATAGTGTGAAAAAGTAAAAAAAAAAAACATCACATCCAGTTTCATTTTACCACATATCTAGTACAGGATATGAAGTAATGTTGAGATAGCTAGTGGAACTAAGTGAAAAAGAGAGGGGAAGTACCCGCAGTACCTGCCACAAGTACCGCTGGTACCCGTCAGGAGGTGCCTGGTGCAGTACATGGTATCTATTTTCTTGTAAAAAATGAACAGGTAACCAAGTACAAACCAACGGTCTCTAGATTTTGGTTTTCCTAGGGCCTGAAAACCTAGCAACTTGCCCATGGGACATCCCAGAAATGCAAGCTTTCTCCTTGACTGTTGTGGTGAATAATACTGTGTTTCTATGCAGAAAAATATAAAAATTTATTTATTATCTCTTTATACATTATAGATATGGTAAAATTGACATAAGAAATTGATTTCTCAGGTAAAATAACCCCTAGTCACCCACTACAACTACCCCCATATCTCTCATAGTTTAGAAGTTACACATATTTCAACCTATCACGGGATATGTTTTGGATTCTTTACTCTCAGTATAGCTTGTTTTGAATACTAGATGCATATTCAATATTGAATTCCTTTGTGTTTTATTGAATTCCTTTATTGGCACATAGTGCATATTGATTTCCTTTGTAAGTGCACATGCATTCCTTTGTAGTAGGACCTTGTAGGCTAGTAAAAATCCCTCAAGGCAGTGCTCTCACCAGCCAAATTCCCTCACCTGAATGTACTAGACTAGCTAAAATCCCTCATTGTATCTTCAGGCCAGCTAAAATGCCTCAAAAGCCTGTGCCCTGGGGCTAAAATCCCTCACATTTGTCTACTCAAACTCTCTCTCCTTCTTACTCAACATGTCACTCTTTTTTGTTATGCCACTCTTTTTATATATTCATTATGCATAATTGTTTGATCCCACAACTTGTTCTCTTTGTATCTAGATTACTTAAACTTCACTGGATACTTAGCTAATGAAAACATCAGTCCTTACTATTTTTAACTGGTCCTAAGAGGACACTTTAGCCTCCTCCTAGCCTTTATCAATCACACTTAAGCCCGATTGATTAAGTATAAAAATAGCCCTTCTCAGACTTCTGTCTGCTTCCGGCTTTGCCAACTTTTTCCCCTCATCGTCTCAACTTTCATCAAAAAGACTTATTCAAATTTAATTGAAGAGGTCCTCACCATGGAAGCCTATGAATCCATGCAAGAGGATTGATCTGGATGCCCAATTGAATAATTGGATAAGTCAGCAGTAGAAGTACCATTCCTCACTGACTCCTCCTTATTTCTTGTGCAAGTTGAGGGCCGATATGACCCCAAATAAAACCTTCTCAATTCACTTTTTGTTAACACTCAGAGCACAACCCTTACAGGTTAGTAGCATAGAGGCTGACAGAGGTGTTGTGGGTGTGCATTTATCTCAATCCCCTTTAATTAGGTACTAGGTTCAAATAGATCATTTTTTGTCCCTGCTTTGTATTTTTATATTATGCATCAAAGTATGCATTAAAAAATCTTCCATCCTTGAAATATTTAAGTAAAGTTTCCCAAAGCAAATTTCTGTACAAAACCAACTAAGACTTGATTGTGTGGGTGGTTCTGGGGGCCAAACCTCCAGATGATGATATTTTTGGAGGTTTCAGACTGTGTAGATCAGACTGTGTAGATTCTAAATCCAAAGTAGTGACCAAACTGGTACAGCCAGGTTTTTTGCCAACCATTTGGACACATGCCCTTGGGCCAGACTTTCCCTGGGGCCAAGGGAAGTCACATCCTCCCAAAAAGTCCTGACCATTTGGAATAGTTGCATAGTTTGACAGAGCCTGTCTTTTTTGGTTGGTTGATGTTCAGAGAAAAATGGTGATGATTGTGAGAGATTGGAGTATTTTGAAAACAATAGTATTGCAAAATCATGTGAACAAATTCTGTTCTATATGAAATAGTGTGCTACATCAGACAAATGTGTTCAAGATTATCAAAAACATGAGAAACACTTAAATATTTGAGGGTCTTGAAATCAGATGTTTCTTGTAAAGGGTTTCTTTGGACAACCTTCTAATTCTATGTAGATGCATGAGCTTGGAAGCTAGTTACATTCTTTCCCCCTCCACAAAAACCATTCTGCTTGATTAACCAAGAACATATAGTGATTCAGATGATGCAAACCTCAATTTTTCAAAATGATGGCTAGTCTGGTGCCAGTGGACGTATTTGAAAGCTCAAAAATGAGAGCCCTTCAATATTCTCAAGGACATATCAGTGAAGATATCACTTTAGAGGATTTTTTTTTTGGAAAAGGATGGCATTGTGGTAATGGATTTGTCCCCAGCTTTCCAAACTAGACTTCCATGGATAACACTAAAGTCAAGTTGTGACCGCATGCTGGACCACACCAGAATGCGATCTTACCCCTCCCCTTTCTACCCCACTTCTTCCATTGATGGATTGCCTGGAATGTCACAAGGGATCCATCTACCTTCAGCCCATGGATTTGGTATGATTTCTGTGTTCCATTTTTCACCAAAAGTGATTCCCGTAGGAGTTACCATTGGTGACTCAGTGACAGGGGTGCAATTTGGAGAGTGCACTGCCCAGGTTTCCAGCATTGGATTTGCTGTAACTCTAGCCTAGTTGTTAAATATTTGCCATCAACTTTGGTAGTGAAGTTTGGCTGGTTGTGGAAAAATCCAACCATGGAAATGGAGCAGAAATGTCCATGCAAATTAAGGTCATACATGCCAATCTGTTGAGGATGTGCTGTATCAAGTTGTATTAGATTACATTTCTTTTGTTTTAGTTGTAACTTCAATGGATACAAGACAAGGCCCAAATTTCATCCATCCCTCAGAACGATGTTGAAGATATTAAACTTTTTTTGTTCTTTCCAGACAAGTGAACTAACTTAGACTAGTGGATATTATAGTCTTAAGTATGCAACAAATGGTTTATGCAAAGCGATCCATGCCTCTAAACTCCTCCAAAAATCGGCTGCTGCTGATTTGTCTATGTGGCGTTTAGTTTCATCGATCTGTCCAATTTTTCGTGTTTTTATGAAGCAAACATATATTGGCTATCAATTAGTACAATCGCTATGTATGTAATCTCTTGTTACCAAGGCGGAACTAGTCTAAATTGACGGGGTAAGAATGATGTAGAGACACAATTGACTAACTCTAAGCTCTGTCACGTTCCACGCCCGTACTTTGGGGTTTGGAGGATCATGTGTCCATTGAATAAAGAACCCTTTCACTAGAAAGCAATTCAAATCGATAGACAGGTCAAACATAGAAATAAACTCAACTACAAAATGAAATAAAAGTTACCATGATGAAACAATTCCTTCGGGTCGCTCCATTTGTAGGGCCGAAATTGCCACTCCTGACCGGTAGTCATCACACAAACCACTCGGTCCCAAGCGTCCTCGCCAAACTTGGTGAGGGCCTCGACGCCATCGACCACAAAATAGCGCGCCGCGCGATCGGCTGGACCGCTGGATTTGCCGAACGCGCCGGAGTCTGATGGGTGAGGTGGAGCTTGTGAGGTGGTGTAGCCTCGTCTATGACTGACTACAATCACATCCTCTGTCGTCGTAATCTGTGCTCCACCACCTCGGGCCACGTTGGGTGGCTCAAAGCTTTCCCAGAAACAAAACTATCGATCAAAAATTAAAGTTATGTATATTGGATTGTGATCATTGGATTAGAACATACACCGCGTCTTCCAAGAACCGTTTAACGTTGTGCATAGTGATCAGGGCAGAGGAGGAGGGAGAGATAATGATGATCGGATTCATGGAACGTCGCTTGGCTTGACTGATTGCGCTACCAGGAGGGCCGACTGGCTTGGTTAGGTTCCCAGAACCTCCTGTTCCGTTGAGACGTGTCTTGAGTTCCTCTCGTCGAGCTTTGATGCGATCGAGGACCAGTAATCGAGCGCTGTCAAAATTGACTGCTTTTGAGCCTCTCAGGACCGTCCTCCGATCTGAGACTTGGCGATGTTCGTGTAACGACATGATCCGCTTGACGAGTTCTTGATCTACTTTGTCCACCACGTATCTCGTACGCTTCATCCGTGATTCATCAAGCTCTGCTCCTGGTCGCTCAGTTATCTGACCTTGGCTACCCGTCGTCGATCCACCTTTCTCAAGATTTGCATTTGAATTCTCCTTGCTAGTGGCATTAACGTCGCCTCCGTTCAATCCGATTTCGTTTGTAAGGTATTCCTGATAGGTCGGTAGGGAGGATTCGAGTGCTACGATTGAACTAGGCTCGCTACTCCCACTTTTGCCCTCCAGGAAGTCAGTTATAGCTTTTCGCTCAGTCGCAGAAACAAATGAACATCCTTGCTGATTGGCTTCTTGAATATATGCAGCAAAACCTTTCTCCCGATTTAAATAACAGCATAAGATACTTTGAGAGTCGTAAAAATGATCTCGATCGGTCGCGGGAGATGCTTCCTGGGGTGCGCCTGGTTTTCGATAACGAGTTGTAAGTGTCTTGGGTATTGAAATTCTTCCGGTCTGCACGGTTAGCGAGATATAAAAGGCAAGGGACAAGGTGAAGACTTTGACGTTGTCTTGAGACATCAGATGGATATCTGATCGACCGGTGATTGCTCTTCGGAGCAAGATGAGGGGATCGATTTTCGCGGCATTGGCAGCTGAACTTCCTCCGGAGGACATCGTCGACGTGGTGCCTGGGCGTTTTCAGGAAATCGAGTGTTTGTTTGAGTTTCTCTACACCTGCTGATCAGGTTCTGGTTTACATTTGTTGTTGACTGAGCCCGGAATCCTGGATGAATGCCTTGCTGGCGCATACATCGATGCGCGGTGGAGGTCCGAAGCGCCCCGGAGCGTCCGGTCGGATCAAAGATTACCGGATCAACCGGGATGGCATCTTCCAGGACGGTTCACATCGGCCACTTTGCTGACAACAGTAATATTTTGCAATCAGCCCAACCATCAGCCCAACCCTGCCCTAAATTTGAAAAATCATCATTTCCAACCCCAGGCATCCCACACCACCTGTAAAGTCACAAACCCACATCATCCCACCTATAAAACCATTTGAACATCCACCCCATCCATAGTCATACCCACATCACGTCCTGCACTTAAAACCTTCAAACACACCAGAATGTCAAAACATTTATGTAAATTATCTGCATCTGACCCAACCAGTCATGAACTAGACCCATCTGTTGCCTCATCAAACCAAGCCTTGGCCCCACCAGTGCCACCTATGCATGCTTCACAATTGTTTGTGCTCCATGATTTATCTCTTTATTGCTGAAAGATCTATTCTTTTTGTCTGTTTTCAGGGACCTGAACCATCCAGCTTAGTCTGTGATGATCCAGGCTCATTGGTGGCTTCAGTTCCCGACTTGGTGTGTTCTACCACTCACTCTTATTTTGGCAGGTGCCAGCCAAATAAAGGCCATGTGGCCAAATGGCAAACACACCCAATAGCTTGGTTCAAATTTCACACTTTTCACTGCTACCTTGTCATAAAATATCTTCTTGCTGATTTCTAAACTCCACACAGACTCACACTGGCAGCAGGCTAATTTTAAGTGTAAGAACTGATTTTCCTCTGCTAACTTCAAATAAAAGATTTGCTTGAAAAAAATGTGAAAAGGGTGTGTTTGCATGCACCCTTTTTTGGGGGTGTGGGTGTGGATGTGCATTTATCAATGCCTGGATTTGTAACTGATGGGGAAGATTATGGCCCACTTGATCAGTTATCTCAGTTTTGTGTTTTGATGCTAAGATGCAACTGCAAAAATTATGAATCTTGCAATGAAAAAATGAGTCTTTGAATAAATTTCTAGGTGTCAGAATCACAACAAAGGTGATGGACAAGACCTATTATCAAAACACAATCTTATTTGACATAGTTGCAATCAAGGTAATAGACAACACTAATCAGAATGCAATGTCAAGAGATTTAAGAAATCAAGTTGATTGATTGGAGAAAAGGTAAATGGCCCCATACAAAAGAGAGGACTCTGCGCCCCAATCAACCAGACTTTAACTGTGTCACAACAGGTGTGAGAATAAGATGAGAAAAAGCTATAATTGTTACTGGATACTAGTCTTCAATGACAAAAGTGTTTTTCATTGAAAAATCTCTATTGCAGATTCTTTGGTACAGCTCATGCAACATGACTACTGCAACCTGAAAGTTAACACCATTGAACATTCCCTGTGTCATGAATTCCACTTAAACATGGAAAATAGTGCTGTTGATGAGGCAATGTTTCCAAGTGCAATATGGATAGCAATCTCATTGCAGGGTATGCTGGCTTCAACGTGTCTACCACTGTGACATGGAACACAGCATCGATTGATGTTTCCAGATGTTGCCTAGAACATCAATCCCACTGTGACATGGAAATTGAGGGCTATAAAGAACTCGTCTCATAACTATCTGATCAAGGTCCACACTCCTGAATATTTAGAAATGTCTTCGGGGTACACAAAGGCCACTCTTGTAAATTTAAACAGGAGTGATGGCCAGGGACAATGTTCCTTGGCCAACATGATCGGGAAGGGTGATCGACTGGAGTTTGCCGGATTTGAGGCGCGGGTAATAAAGAAAGAAACGGGTGTTCGGATCGAACAACAAGTAGTCTATATCCGAGCCGGATCGGTTCAGAATAAAGCAACTGTCTGGTATCTTATCCTGTGGGGGTGTGCTAGCCTCACGTGGAGGCTTGCGATTCCATTGGAACAAGGCTTTCAATTCACCCTCGGCGTCACTGTGTTCCTGTAGGTCCATTGAAGTTGTCCTCCCTGGAATGGTCAATTGGTTTTTCGAAGAGCGCATCGATTGGATGTGCTCGACTTGAGGATAGTCTGGGGTCAAATGTTCCTCATGAATCCAAGCACTCGCCTCAACATCTTGATGATCACAAATAAAAATTTAGGAAGAGCCTGAGGTTAGTCTTTCGGTCGTTGTGCGCGTTTACCAGGATTAAATTCACGACTCACCAGGGGCAGGAAAATCACCAAAAGCACATGCAATCAGGCCAGTCATACAAACTAGAGTCACCACGAAAGTAGTAAATTTTATCATGGTAACGATTCCCTGTTTATATACTTTTTTTTTTGATAGGGTTGGAGAAGTAAGATGTCAGTCAAAAGAATAGCACGTGTCAATCTACGCGTATGTTTTGGATCTCTGGAGGATAAAAGGTACACAGGGCCAAGTTCGAATCAACGAAAGCAGTATAAATAGATGGAAAATTCAATTACATTCGAGCCGGGACCTTCCGACGATGATTCCTTGTAGGGATTCAAGGATTGATGGGGTTGAAGTATTAGTATGCAGAGGCGGTACTGAAGGCCAAGGGTGGCACAGTGGTATCCGCTTTTATATTGGTGAAAGCGTTTTTGCTTTTTTGTTGACTTGAGCCAACAGTGTGATCTCGCCCTGCAAAACACCCATTTGCCGAGTTACAGCCATTTCGAGAAAGGTTGCGGTTCGCGAGCCAGACTTTTTTTTATTTTTTTATTTTTTTATTTTTTATTTTTAGAGACTGAATACAGCCCTGTATATGAGCTGATTACTTCCAATTCTTCGTTTACAGAAGAAAACGAAGGATTGAAGACATACAGCCGACATACAGGGCTGTATCAGACTCTAAAAATAAAAAATAAAAAATAAATAAAAAATAAAAAGTCCGACTCCCAAGCAGCAAGCTTTCTCGAAACGGCTGTACGTTGTGGCCGGAGAGCTTCGACTTGACCATATTTCAGCTAATCAAATGTACCAGACTCCAAACATGGAAATTTTCTCTGCCGTTTCGACTGCATCATTAGCAAAAGGCCTGGATCTTCCTTGTGTTTCTGTGTCACACATGCTATGTATGTACCTCCGAGTTCGACATTGGAACCCACGGTCCACCTTCCTTTCAAAAGGCCATTGTGCTACGAGTTTGATGATGGACCTCAGGTTTTGTCAAGCACATCCCTTGGTCTTCTGGCCCACTCATCAACCTCCATTGTGGGCATCATCTTTCTTTCTGGTTCAGTCCCTGTTGGTACCTAACTCAACTAAGGCAAGCCGGTTGGCGCAATGCGGCCAGTGGTTTACAACTCCGAGCTAGGGGCAGGGAATGAGTTAAGTTAGGTTGGTACCCTCACCCACTAAGACAACAGAGTTACAAATATGTACATTACAGTCACAAAGACAACGAGTTGGAATTACAAGTTTTACAAGATATATGCTGCACAAATTTTTGAAATATGTTGTGTGGAAAGGATAAGTCACCGTGGGGGGATTATGAAAGAGGATTAGTCTGGATTAGTTCAAAAGGATCAGAAAATGGACGAGTTTAAGCTTTAGTAAATTTCTTTAATTCTTCTTTATAGACCCGATACTCTGAATACTTCTTGATGATCCGTTCACTTTCGATTCGTTGTTGGTCTAGATGATTTTGTTCAGTTCCATATGTATCCGTCCACATGTCTTTTAATGATGGCTTGGACATCTTTTTTTTTAAAAAAAAGAAAGAAAGAAAGAAAGAAAGAAAGAAAGAAAGGAAGATTTGTTTGTTAGTTTCATTATGTAGGTCATACTTACAGCAAGTCCAAGCTTATGCATGGAATGATTAATTCTGCTTTGCTGTCAAAAGGAGAGAGAAAGACATTCAACTAACTTTTTCAGTCCGTTTGACAGATTTTGAGATATCGTTCTTCCACTGTTTGATCCGATCTTCTTCCTTAGCGGGATCCCACCATCCCTTAGATTCCAGGAAAGCCCTCATTCGATTGATAGGATTATCGCGTTTCCTCCACTATTTTTCAAGTAATTGATGCATCAGTAATTCTTTCTTTTTTCATTTTTGGAAAAAAAAAAAACTTTGAATGTGATATTTATGTGGACCAAGTCATTTTGTTTTTTCAGTTTTGAAAAAAGTCGTATCTTACCTGGTCGACCTCGTTAGGGTTTCGATAGGCACTGGAGTCATCACTGGTGCTATGATGACCGACTCGGTAAGTCATAGCCTCGACCATCACTGCTCGACCGGCGCCTTCGAGTGCCCGACGACGGGCTTCTCTAGTTGCGAGATAGACCGCTAAGGGGTCATTCCCATCTACTCGGATCGCATCAATACCATATCCTACAGAGTTCAGCATTCAGCACGAAATAGTTTGTATAACCATGTTCAACAATGTTAGATATGGGAGCGTGAAGGGTTGTTTTGTTGATACCTACCAGCAGCACGAGAGGCGATCCCGTCCCCTTTGAATTGCTGAGAAGACGGAGTCGAGATCGCAAAACCGTTGTTCTATGTAAGAGCGCCAAGAGGCTAAGCAGGGTAAAGAAACGGCCGATGGGACATGATCATCCAGAGAAGATTGATGTGAGCGATTGATATAGGACTGACTCTGATGAAAAAAACGATTGGACCGCCCAAAACGCTGGCCATGTTGACTCCGGCATGGAAGTCGCCCTCACTAGCAGCGCCCTCGCCCAAGTAACAGACCACACAATCATCCGGACGCTCGCCCTTTTGTCTCATCCGTTTGAGAGCATATGCCGCCCCAGCCGCCTGAGGGATTTGGGTGGCCAACGGACTGCTGATCGAGTGGAAGTGGTGCTTCTTCGAGGCGTAGTGTACCGGCATCTGTCGACCCTTCGAACTCTCATCTTCCACTGATCCAAAACATTGTGCAGTCAAGTAATCCAAACTGTGTTGTTTACCATCAAATAGAGACAAAGATCTCTCAACTGCTTTTGCTTGGGCTTATCAAGTTAAAATCATCTCTCTTACCTGCAGCCTCTCCACAGCAAAATACCTTGTTCTAATTCAACATACAAAACAAATAGAAAATGAGTACCAACCAGAATCTGATATTTTGCAGCAGCAGAAACAAGTGTGTATAAAAAAATAGATCCAGTTAGAGCCTATATAGAAACACACACACACCTCTGTATTGAGCAAATACCTCATCATGGTCGCCCAGTGCGGCCGCTGACCCTACGACGGCTCCTTCTTCTCCATAGCTAGTCATGTAAAATGAGATTCGACCATGGCGCTGTAAGTTACTCATGAATGTATCTAAACTACAGACACAGAACACGGGAAATCACAAAACAAGAATCAGATACACTTCTTTCTTGATTTCTATTTTATGCATTGTATGCACTTCTGTCCTCCTGAGAGATGAAGAAAAAAAAAGAAAGATCTGAAAATTAACATCGGCAAGCCGAGCATAACTTCGTAAACCTTTACGGCGAATGATTCGTTTTCGAGTTGAGCGAGATCAGGCAAGCCGATGTGTTGATCATTTGAGTTTTTCTTGCCAATCGGGTTAAGGATCTTGAGGGGGATGAGTGGATCGAATGGGAGTGGTTGTTGTTCTTGAGACTTGGAAATGGAATGAGAGGAAAAAGATTTAGTGATTGTTGTTGTTGTTGTTGTTGTTGGTTGACTCAACCGAGCCATTCGAGTTGACTTCCAAGTCCTCCTTCCCAGCTCATTCATCCTCATCAGTCTGGTCATCATTGTGTTCGTCGTGTTTGTTGTGTCTCAAATTATGGTGATTGTATGCTATGATGGTAGTACACAGTGCGGGGTGCTTGGGACACCAGTTCACCTGATCTGAATGACGTCACACAGCCCTGAGGTATTATATAATCACATGACCGCCGCATACAGTTACATATAACACTCCCTCAAACCACTGTCACTTGACACAAAACCAGTCTCTCAATCTTACAAGGCACAGCTGGTCTTCAGCTTTCCTTTGATGCTTGAAAGCACACCCAACACAGACCAGATTAGAGTAAAATTGATTGTTTGAATAAATCGAGCATTGGATAAATTTGAGTGAACGCCTTCTCATCCATCCAGATAACTCCTTCAGCCCGACACAATGTGATGGAAGACCGATACAATTGTAGATAAAAAAAACGATTTCTGATGATGAGGCTGAGTAAAGATGTACATAAAGATATGAGGAGATCAGATCGACAACAACAAGCGGATTTAGTAGATTGATGGTAGAACGATTTGTATGACGAATAGTGAAAGATGATGATAGGTTAAAGTGAGATCTTGTGTAAAGCGGGGGGAGGAAAGGGATTAGATGTTGCACTCTTTTTAAAGGAAAAATATATATATATTGATAGGTTTAAAGGTTACTATGGATTAAATTTAAAGTCAAGACTTCTCAGATTGAATGGATGGGATTCATGTGTTGATTTATTTATACTTGACAGACCTGAAGAATGAGCAGGGGATGTTATGGATTATTGATTGAAATATAGTTTTTTTTAAGAGGAAAGTAATTCGTAACGACTCGCAACCACTAACCCGCAAACGCTCAAGTGAAATGATTCTAACAACATAAAACGAAGGGAGAAAGAGCGAGGAAAGAGAGGAGGAAGAAGAAGACAAAACGGGGAGGAGGATGTTGATTAGACATTTTCCCATCCCTCATACCTTCGTTCATCGGAATCCCAATCGACATGAAAGAGACCGACGAGTCTAGATTTAAGTTCAAGGTAACAAGTCCGACAGATAGTTTGAACCTTCCAAGTCCACCAACGAACAGTGAACCATCTCCGAGGAGCCAAGCCAAACCTAGCATCGGTCGGAGTTTTGATGTGAGAGGACGATGATTGAAATGGGTCCGAGGAGCTAGGAGGTTCGGGGGGAAGATTACCGTAGCTAGAGACCAGTGGAGGTCGAGCGAGTAAAGGTGTCCTACTATCTACCTCCGGAACGTTGAGATAACCAGTCGGCCTGGGATCTGAATTGGAAAGGTAAGTCGGATCGCTGACTATTGGTAAGATTGGTTTTCCCGGTAAGATTGAAGTCGTCGTCAGCCTGGGCCGACGCAAGATCCCGGAGCCAGGAGGTGGTGGTAGGAGCGGATGAGCGGGCGAGGGGGGCAAACCGACGATGATGCTGGAGGCCCACGACAGCCAGGACTGGGAGGCCTTCGAATCAGCTTTCTCAGGATTAGGTCTCTTCCTCTTGCTCTGATGTGTCGAAGACCCCGATCGTGCATTCTTTCGATCGATCGACGGTCTAATCTGCTTGATTCTTCTTAACTTGCGCTCCAACTTCTTGCGCTCATGTTCGAGAATTACATCATGATAACAAGATCCATCGTCTGAATCGCTGTTATCAAGAGAATGTGAATGGTAATGCGAGTGGCCTTGGTTATTATTCTCGTCCGTAGCGCTCGTTGAGTCTTGCTTGCCCTTTCCCTTTCGAGCGGTCAAACTGTCGGATTGATAGTACCAGTTATTCCACCAGGCCTTCCATCCTCCCTTGGCTCTCTCGGCATCCCGTTGGGCTACTTGGCGACGCTCTCTGACTCGAGCAACTCTTTCGGCCGTCGGGCCGAAGAAGGGTGCTGGAGCTCGGACTATCGGAACCCTGAGAGGGAGGTAGAGACTGCTGGCTGGAGAACTTGATCTCGAGATGATCGTTGCTGAGTAAGTACCAGAGCCAGTAAAGGAGCTCGACATCGAGGCTGTCCTGGCGAAAGAAAGGGCTAACGAGGGATGTGACCCCACATGAGCATGTTGCTGATTGGCGTTTGATGGGGAGGTCGACTCAGTGCGAGACCGGCGACTGAAAGATGATCTCGCAGAAGGTGGCCCGGGCCTCAACGTACTCTGTCTGTTGGTTTGGAAAGATTGACTAACAGGTGATGAGGAGGAATCTCGGGTATCAAATCTTCTGATTTCTCCAGAAAGAGTCGATCGTGAGTCAGGGGTAGAAGCGCGATTTGGAGAGGTCATGCGATGGGGATAGCTTGGCGACCCGTTCCCAAAACTCGAGCGCCCTGTAGGAGAACGAGATGTGCTTGATGTGTGTTCAGCAATCGATGGCGGGCGATGACGGTGGATGGTGATCTTCTTGGGGACTTGCTTGACTTGCTTGCTTTCTCTTTTCCGCTTTGGACTAGATGTGATCCCGCCTGAGATGCGGACCACATTATGAAATTGAATCTTGGCAGCTTTGCCATCGGCAAGGTTGGCATGATTGATATCGTCAGGATTAGAATCCGATGAGTTTTCATGGGTTGTCTTGGCGGCAAGTTCTGTCAATAGCTGAGAAGAGTCAGATCTGGACTCGAGAAATGAACCTTGCGCAACTTGGGATGTAGGGGTCGGATTGGCAATGGTACTTGAGCTTAAATGTATGACTGTGTTGAAGGAAGATGCCAGAGAGCTAGAAGATCGACTGGATGGTAGGCCATGCCGATGATTGGAAGTGTTGAAATCTGTTGCATCTAAATGACTTGTGTCGATAGTAGGATGGAACGCTTCGTGTGATTCCTGTTGAGATGGAGAGGCCTCATGGCTGAGAGTGACGGCAGTCCAAGTCGGGCGTGCAAGTTCTGGTGCGTTCTGAAAACTTGGGTCGCAATTTGAGGGGAATTTGTTGTCAACTGGGCGAGCTTGGACTTGGACCTCTGGATCTCTAGCGGATTGTGAGTTCACTAGTGATAAGGTACCGGTGGAAGCCATGGTAACACTTTGTATCCAATAATCTAAAAATAATGGTACCCGTTAGTCACGCTGAATTTGAAAGTATGTGGGCAGCAAGGAAGGGGGTCAAGAATCAACTCAGACGGTTTATAAGAGCACAACTTTCTGCTCGTGTTTGGACGGTAAAATCCTTTCAAAGTTACAATCCTAGGCGTAAACCAACGAGGTGGTAAATCGTCATGCACAAGGATGGGAGACTCAAAGATGAGGGTCCTCTAGACTGGCTGAACGATCAGGGTAGTCAACAGCCATGCCTCTGGTGATCAAGGGACAGAAGACACATTTACATCAGTACGGCTGAGTGGAGAAACTATCCTAGTATGTAGTAGTCCTGGAGAAAAATACTCACACAAGAGGTAATGACGGACCAGCCGGATGTTTAGCCGATGGTCGGCCAGATTGATGATACGTTCTAAAGCCACGATATCTCTGGTCCCACTCTCCCCAGAGTTAAGCAGTGGTGGTCTTCGTTTTGCTCCCCATTGAACACAGCAGACCTGCATTGGCACGGTGTCCTTTGGGGACATCACAAACCCGCCCCGAGGACCTTCCCAGTGTCGGACCGGATCGCAGCTCGGGGAGAAACCCGGAAAGATAACCACTCTATCCGCTCCATATGTTCCACCAAATCTCCACAGTCGATTGCTAGACGAAAGCAAAATGAAGCTCCTCTTCAGAAACATGTGAATATCCCCTCTGGGTACAAATATTGGGGGTAGAGTGCAACCAAACCTGAGTGATAGGAGCCCATCCGCCCCGCTTCGCCGATAATCTGCCACCAGTTTTGGTCCACTGATACTGGTAGATAGCCTGCCTTCTCTCTGTCACGCTTACCTGAGTCAAATATTACGAAATAAATACACCGCATCACTGGAGCTTATGGAGAAAAGAATGATGGTGCTCATCAATTATGGGTACTACATAATATAAACCATTGTTGGAAGGGAAGTAACAGGGGTGCTGAAGCATAAAATTGTGAATAAATTATGGTTCACACTTGAATTCTGGCACAGATTGTATATCAATACAGAGTTATAAGTGTGCCCTAGAACACTGGATGACTTCCCATTGCAATCTAGAACTCTCCCAGACTTTTCTTGACTTGAAATTAAGTAGACATAGCAAATGCTTGAGAGGAGGGATACACTAATGGTTGTTTTCACACTGGTATGCTATTTTTGGTGAGGAAAGAAAGTTGAAGAACCAAGCCTCATCCCCAAATACCATTCTAATTTCTTTTTAGACCTATCAAAGAAATTTGTCATTATTTATTCGCTTCTGTTGTATAATTGTCACCTTGACACTACCAACATATTAGATAAAATCAAGAAGCCAATAAAAATCTGGTTATCTATACTAACAGATTGATGGCTGTTTGAATTATGATCCTCAAAATTTTGGGTTCTTGGTGGAAAGCTTCTCTTCAAAAACATACAGTGGCGTGCAGCATTCTACTGTACAAGGCCACCCGCAAATGTTGATTAGGTCGCGCGGGGTTGATCCTCACCCCCGACGGGGGTCCAGCACCTGTAAAGAACACATTTTTGGAGTCTACAAGGTGTGTAGATTCCAAATCTAAATTGGCAACCAATTTGGTCCAGCCAAACAAAAAAATTCTTTTTTTCACCGGACCATTCGGTCACAGGCCAAATATGGGGGCCTAAGTACATAAATATGCAATAGGCTGACACCATAAACCCATACTTGTATGGCTATATGTCAGCCTAAGCCCATACACATAAGCTTAAAGCCAATGTATATGCTCAAAAGTGCATCAGCTGGCTCGATTACAGCAGCGTGGATGTCAGATTGACGTCTCAACACCCCAGAACTTAACAAAAAAAAATCAAATTTTTCCAAATTTTGGGTCCCGACCATTCGGACATCCCGAAATCCTGTACAGTACAATGCCACGCGCAACTGTATTTGGCCCCGTTTGACCACAAATCATGATTTGTGATTTGGCTGAGGTTTGGTGCGGATTTGGAACTTGCAATATAAAACAATATAAAATTTTTGCACAAACTCCTGCCAAACCTTGCCTCAAAATTACAAATTATGGACAGCCAAACGGGGCCTTCAGCTTGATTTGCAAATATTCATGTCAAGGGAAGTTGTGAATAGTACAAAGCAAATTTTTGAACCTCAAATACATGCTGTTTTGTGGGGGGGGGGGATGCTTAATTTATCAACAAAGACTGAAACCACATCATACTAATATAAACACTATCTGGTATTTGATATGAGAAATGGAAGTAAGTTGGGATCCACACCATGATATTCAGGGATCATTGTATACATTCCAGACCAAGTTTTTGGGAAATAAAACTCACTTTCCTGGGGCCAGTGTTTCATAATCACAATCTCATATCTACTGCTCCAGTCAAACTTAGTACAATAGTGCAACTACTACACTAAATTAAATTACCACTGATAAACCATGAGTGTAGCTGATAGCTGCTAAACCTTTGGGCTGTTAGATTTAGCTGTAATAGGTACCCTTCAAATTACAGCAAATTAGTGGCCCATTACAGCTAATTAACTGTAATTTTTATTTGAAATTGCACTTTTTTTCTCAAATATTTAGCAGCTATAATTGCAGCTATCTTAGAACTGAAATGTAGCTGTAATTTAGTGGCACAAAAAAACACTCAACTACAGCTTGATTTTTGCTAAATGTGATTTGGGGCCTGTACCATATGGCATGAAAATTCAATTTTTCATATTTTTTCAGGATTTATATTCCTCAAATTCTCATATAATGAAGTGATCATCACCATTAAAGGACATTTATAAGCTCAAATATGAAGAATTTTAACACCAGGTATCTCCAATTGTTTTGAATTTTTTTGTAGGAGACAGAAAAAATGACCATTTTTCAAAATTCACTCCAATGGTACAGGCCCTTAATAGTCACCCCCTTGCTTAGTGCAGGGAGAATTTCACTCTGGATTAACATGCATTTCACATCAAACATTTCACAGCTGTCAAGTTATGACTTTGTTATAAAAATGCACTCAAGATTTCTTGAACATTATGAATCCGGACCCCACAACCTGATCACATGACATGAATCAGTTTTGTTTGGAATGAGAAGGTCTGATCATAAATTGGTCATGAGAATCAACTGAGATTTGGCTCTCATCATTAAACTGGTTTTAAATTTATCTTTTGGCAGGCTAATTTGAGCATTCCAGATCAAAAGATTGAGGACTTTCTGTTGGTCTAAAGTTCTCAATGCAGGCCCTGTAAAGCCAAATTGAGAATAATATCTGGTAGTGAGAGCTCAATTTCAATCAACCTTCATCAGAAAATAAAACTTATTTTTCAAGGCCTGCACCACCCAGAGCAACAAATTTTTGCAAGTCAACCTGCAGATTTCATTTCCCAGTGGAAAATTGAAATCACCTCCTCAATTTCAACACAATGAGTGATCATTTCTGAGTGTGTTAAGGGCCAGTACCACAGTGCATGAAGATTAAATTTCTCAGAATTTATTTTCCTCAAAATTTCATATCATCAATTAAAAGTGACCTTTGCCAACAGCCAGTTTTTGGCCTTTTTAAGAACAAATCTACCCACTTGTTTTTAATTTCTTCCCAGAAGACAAAAGAAGAAAAACTTTCAAAATTAAATCCCACAGTACAGGCCCTTGGATTCCATAGTTCTCAATTGAGGGTGTCAGATTGATGGGAAGTCCTCCAGTCACAAGTTAGATGTGCACTGCCATTGGTCATGGTTTTGACTTGATTTATTATTTACAGTGTTACAGACTTATAAATTGTAATTTCAAGTCCTCCAGTTAAAAAGGGCAGTTCATGTTACCACAATTGTTTTGTCAATTCTTGGCAAGGGCCGTTCCAGTCAAATTTTAATTGTGGGATTGTGAGGCAACTATTAACTGCTTTGAAAACTCTAACACTAATGGAATCAGCCTGCAAGCATGCATTTTGACAAGGTTGGGCTTCTGATTTTGAAATCACAAGTATATGAACTCCCTGACGGTTATGCCACTACCAAGCATGTAGTCAAAAAACCCCACTAGTTATCAACCAGTTCTGCTCCTGGCGGAATATCGCACCCGAGCTTGAACACAATTAGTTCGATGTGGGGAGTTTTGTGGTGAGAAACTGGCCGCATGGCACCGACAAGGATACCAACGGAGGGACCCTCTACCTTCGGAGGTCTGGTTAAGTCAGTCATGAACCGTTCCATCGTCATATTCATGCGTACATGTTAAGGTCCAAAGAAAGAGTCTGAAAACTCCTGCCCATCCAAGACGACGAATGTGCCAAGCCAAATTCCACGCTACATCTACGCTCCTGCCACTACGCTTCCGTCAATTCAGGCTCAAAATTGAACCTGCTTTATTGAACTGACAGCAACTGACACCAAGTGCTATATTTACATCCAGTGGCATGAAGGCTGCTCATCGCCAGACGGGAAGCCTGATGATGCTTTAGCAGATTTATGTCTCAAGCCAGGCGCTCAAGCTCTCCGTTCCAGCAGTAGCGCGGGGAAATGGTTGAACCGGGGGAGTCCCAAAGTTTTTCGCTTCAAATAATAGCTCGCAATTGAGTTTGGGTCGGAGCTTTTGACTAGAATAAGGCGACAGTTGAAGCTGAATAAAGTTCAAATCCATGTTTTCAATCCTCTCCCTCTTGTCCTCAATCGCACCTTAAGCTTTTCCGTCTGCATCTTACAAAGCTCCCTTTTCTCCTGAAAAGTTTATCTTACCATCGCAATTGAAGATCAACCACGATTTACGACGACGAGCACCATCGTTTGATTTTCTCTCTCGCAAATAATGGTAACCGATGTTGGTCTCATGGTCTTTACTATCCAAAAGGTACTGTACCGAGTGTTACTTACGAGCCAACCCAGACGGTTCCCGACGAAAATTCGTCAATTCTCGCTTGATATAATTGGTTTTCATTGACGTGCCTGCCTCTGTGTTTTGCCGCTATTCTCTATTATTTGAGTCGGCTTAAGTTGTGGAATAGGTCACCCCCTCAACTTGGCAAACCGACGGAAATTGCACTGCCACCAGCTGGTCCCTGATTCTCTCGAGCTAACATTTATCGAGTTCCTGTTCAGCTGAGCATCTGGTGAATGCATTGTAAGTTACTCTCGGCTCCATAAAAATAATCCTTCTGTTACTGCAGCTCGGGCATTTGTTATCATCTGGCATTTGGTTTTTCATAAGAAGGCTTCACCTATGTAGCCTGGCTAGACAGGTGACTTCGTTGAGCTTATTATTGGCCAAGCCCAGGATGAAACAAAAACAATTTTACAAGTTCCCTCCATGCAACAAACTTTCACGGTCATTGTTGTGAAAGAAGCCCAGTTTACACGCACCAGTGAGTACATAGGCGGCCACATAATGTCAACCAGGCCTATTTTCGAGAGTCTGCTGACTTCCCTCACCAGGAGTTTTGATGGGATCATCGAAATGTCTGCGTCTCATCATAGGATTCTCCATTTTTGCCCGTTGCAACGTAGTGTCATCGTCGATAGCTAAAATAATATGTGTCATCTCTTAAAATGGATTAGCTATTCCTTTTCATCTGGTCACAACGTTACGCTCACCAAAACTTCACTTCATACCAGAATTATACACCAGCAGTCCTGATCTAATTCTATGATAAAATATTTATTTAGCGGCAAGGTTTGGGTGCTTTGGTCTCAGTTGGTTTACCATCATGGGGCCATGTGAGAAAGCCGTGCCAAACCGCCGGATGATAACTTGAATGTACTGAACATACTATTCCATCTACGATAACCCACGTTGATAAGATTGATAGGTGGATTTGACTGATATACGTCGGCATCATTCCTTGTGAGCCTTATTCACAATGACGTGCTTAACTCGAAGTGCTTGGTTGAAGCTTGACTGAGCAGTGAGATTTGTCTGAGCTCGGCCGGTCTGATACATTTGCAAGCCAATCGTCGGAATATATGATAACTGTGGTAGTGAGTGCCCGTCAGGCTTGGCTATTCGAGAGGCAAAAACTATCGTAGAGACCTGCCTCTGCTTGAAGGTCAATGGAGGATGCTACACTCACTCGTTCCTGTCCATTGTCGGCCTATGTTGCCGCCCCGTCATAGCCACGCTATAATCTCACAACAAATGCATACCTCACCGGCACTTGTATGTAAGCTTTATTGTCAGAAACTTGTAAATGCGCGTTACTATGGATTATCCATTGCTTCCAGCTCGTAATCGCTCGGGTTACTCCCTTATCGGTTGGAGCAGAAGCCATAGCCAGCTCGACCCAAGCTGTCCGTAGAGCTTCCCTATTGTGGCCCAATGCCCAATTGGGCTGAGGATCAATCTGGATCGATCTTCCTTGCACCGTGGAAGTGGTCTTTTGGTGTTCCACCATTGTTCACGGTGGCAATTTTAATCTACCACGGGATCTCCCACACACCTGTCATGGCCAATTTTGATTCATCAATTTCCGACATTTTGTTTCGTTCTTTTTTCACAATCATGTTAAACGCACTGAGCCTCAGACGTTGTCCTTGAACGGCTTGAACCCGGCATTAACATCTTGCCCAGTTGTGCTTTCATCTCCATGGACCACCTTGCCTAGAAGTTTCACCAATTTACAGCCTTCCAGTAATCAATTGTTCAGCCATCTCTTACCGAAGCGACTGGCCTCAAGATAGCCCACCTCAGCCTTCTTTCTAATCGTGCATTTGTCGTCCTCTAAAACAGAGTGCGCTTCCCTGTCGCTGCCTCCATCTTGGTCGATAAAATCAACACCTCTCACATTTCTCTACGCATTCTTTTCAAGTCACTCTCAAAGATTTCATCTCCCCAGTCTGTTCTAACACTTGCTCACAACGAGTGAGTACGCTGCTCATCGGATCACCTTATCTTCTTACCATCCAACGTTGGCCTGCGTTAATCAACCTTTTCATCCGGCACAAGATTCTCGCTCCTCAATGTCGTGGACTTACCGGCCTTTCATCCTGGCTAGCCTTGTCCTACAAATCTTCTCACATCCTTATGACTCAAAGCTTGCCAACTATAACATCAACATCAACCAGGCGGGTGGTAATAAAATCCTTTCATATTCCTCTGATTGGCCCGAGAAAAGTACGCGAGGAGGTTACACGCCGAGTCCAACAAACTGGAGGGCACTTCCCACATACACTGTGCTCCTAGACAAGTAAGTTCATCTAGGAAAGTGGGCACGTCGTACTTTGGCACTTTTGCAGACTGACCATTCACGTATCAGATTTGTCGACGGAGATCCTACCAACAATGATTATTTCAATACTCAGTGGGAGTGGGACTCCAAGGCTAACCGTTAGTTTTACGCTGGGCTATCTTCTTGCATGGTGCAATTACTGACGCTCATTCGAGTGTTCTAGAGCTGCGACATGGGGGTGATATCAGTGGATTTGCTCAAGATCGGGTACTGGATTATATCTAGTAAGATAGAATGCCAGGTCAAATCTCTTTGAATGCTTCCCCTAATGATCATATTTTTTTTTAAGTGGAATGGGTTATAGATGTATCTTTTTTGCGGGGACTCCGTGGATTAACATGCCGTGGCAAGCCGACGGGTATTCTGCGCTAGACTTTACCTTGCTGGATCCTCACTACGGAACTCTTGCGGAATGGCGGGCCGCGATTGATAAGATACACGCGAGGGGGATGTGAGTGACGCTCCAATCCCACATCCATCTGCGAATTTGTGCAACTGAAGCTTTGTCCGTGACTAGGTATGTGATGCTTGATATGACCACGACGACTATGGGTGATTTGATTGGAAACTCCAAGTCTTTGAATGCCTCAACTCCGTTCAGTCTTCAAGGCTATGAGGTTGAATGGAAATATCCCCCTCACACCCCCTGGGATCTACAACGCTATGCGGATTTCAACTTTACGAATACCCGCTCAACTTGTCAATTGCCCAACTTTTATGACAATGATGGCTCTCAAATAACCTCGGTTCCTCGCAAGCTAGACGGCTGTTATGCTGGAGATTTCGACCAATTCGGTGATATTGAAGCTTTCGGTGTGCATCCTGATTGGCAACGTCAACTATCAAAATTCGCCTCTGTGCAGGATCGTCTGCGTGAATGGGACGATGGAGTTGCAGCAAAACTTGAGCATTTGGCTTGCATGACTCTCAAGGCGCTTGATCCTGACTCGATTCGAATAGATAAAGCTACCCAACAAACTGTCGACTTTGTGGGGAAGTGGGGCGGTGCCGTCAAAACCTGTGCCGCATCCATTGGGAAAAACAACTTTTTTATTCCTGGTGAAATGTTAGTAATGCCTGATAATTTGGCGGCGCGTATGCAGATAAAAATTAACCAATCTCTTCTCGCCTGTCTGATTAGCACGGGAGGGAACACTTTTGGATCGTTATACATTGGCCGTGGCCGACAGCCCAAGAATTATGCCAATATTGGTGTGCAAGAGGCATCTCTCATTCAAGCCAATCAGTCGCAGCACTTTATGAGACCAGTTGGCCAAAACGGACTGGACTCTGCGGCCTTCCATTACTCTGTTTATCGCTCGCTGACTAGATTTTTGAGCATGGATGGAAATCTCGATGTTGCCTACGACGTTGAGGTCAATTGGGCTTCGGCATGGAACCAAATTTTTGTATCAAGTCAGTGACCCAGTCCAATTCCTATCCTTAACAATGATGTCTAACCTCGGCTTTCACATCAAAGACGATTTTCTCAACCACCACACCGGTCAAATCGATCCGAGACATTTATATGGAACTTCGAATCAGGATGTATTCAGATGGCCATCACTGAAGAACGGCACCGCGAAATTACTTTTAGGACAACTCATCACTAACTTGGTGATGCCTGGTATCCCTCTCGCATACTATGGGGAAGAGCAAGACATGTATCTGTACGACTCTCAAGGTAAGTCGGAGTTATAATGACCGCCGTGCCAGACACTGCTTACTCATGGATCCCACAATCCTGTAGCCAGCAATTATCTTTACGGCCGTCAAGCAATGTCAGCTACCCGAGCCTGGCAAACACATGGTTGCTACAGAGTGGGGTCTCAGCAGTATTACAAAATGCCTCTAGAGAGGGCACTTACTGGATGTCAAGACGAGTGGAACAGCTTGGATCATTTCGACCCCACCTCGCCAGTGCGGAAGGTGTTGTCGCACTTTACACATCTGCGAGCACAATACCCAGCTTTACAGGATGGTTTCAATCTGGCTCAACGTGGAAATTGGACGTCTTTTGGTCAGCTCCCCGGTTCCAACATGACGCAGACGGAATGGGGATTCTGGAGCGTTACGAGGAGTCCATCAGACCAGCAACAGTTCACCGGCCCGAATGGCAACACAACCGTCTGGATGCTCTACAGTAACTTGAACACGACGAAGACTTTTGAGTTTGATTGCGGCACCCAACTGTGGATTTCGGCTCCTTATCCGGCTCCATTAACGGTGCGAAATCTGATTTACCCATACGAGACTTACAATTTGGCCGGGTCCAAGTCGCCCTACTATCTCGACGGGAAAGCTCCATACAGAGGCTGTTTGCAATCCGTTACAATGGATGCTTTGGGCTTCAAAGTTCTTGTCCCCGCGGATAACTGGGTGGCACCTCTACCCCAGCTTGTTCACTTCACTCCCGGCCACGATGCGCGAATATTGTCTCGCTCCGATACGGATAGCAACCCAATCGCAATTTCACTCTCATTTTCAGATGAAATGTCTTGTCAAAGCGTTTCAGAATCACTTTCCCTGGCGTATGTAATTGACCCGGCTTCAAGCCACCAACCCCGCCTCAACGTCAATTCCGCAACTTGTACCTCTATCCCACCAGTCCCGAGCTCTATTTCGTCGGCTCCAGCGGCTGTCTGGACATGGTCCAGCCAGATTGAGGATGCTCCCGACGGCATTTACGAATTGATCATCAAGAATCCCACTAACAAAGCAGGCTTACACACCCAGTCGACTGATCACCTTTTGATTCGCAAAGGTTCTCGCGATAACCCGATTGCATTCCAAACAACCTCTTATTCGAAGAGCTTGCTTCAGAAAGGATCGGATGGTTTATTTCAAATATTCTCTAATGCGGCTGGTGCGGATCTGATGCGTTATTCGACAGACTTTGGAAAAACCTGGATGAAATGGCAGCCATACGCTCGGGCGGTAGGTTTACCTGCGGGATCGTTTAGCCAGGCCCAATTTTGGGAAGGAAATCACATCCGGGTCCAGTATTGGTCTAAATTAGCGGGCTCTGCGGCCCAGACGGTCGATTCTGACTATGGCTACAGTGGAACAGACATTCGCACTGTGCCCCAGCTTTTGCTTCGGGGACCTTTCAATCAATGGTTAGCCGAAATGAGTTGAATGATGTATAATAATTTTTTTATACTGACTCCTTCATCGTTATAGGGGATATGACCTTGGGACAAATAATGGGTTTACTTCCCGGGAAGGCAATTGGACTTTTGATGTGAGAGTTTCTTTTCGGCTAGACGAATTGGAGAGGTGACGATAACTGAACAAGATTTTATTTGCACACTCATCCAAAGATTATGACGAATTGGCCCAATTTTTTTCAAGTCACGCCGTTCGACGTGCACGATGAGCTGTACTATGGTGACGTCGACGGGGATGGGGCCTTAGATTTGCTTCCGCCGAACACACAAGCACCAAATTACCTCAATCTATCCAAGCCGCTGTCTCCATACCTCGGCTGGAGAATTATGGTCAATCAAACAGACATGACATGGAGTGCCCTTCCCATTGGAGACGAGACCGTCGGGATCCTTATTTTCATCCTGTTGTGCATCATCCCGCCTGTGACAGCTGTACTCGCATGTTGGATTTTCAGAAGAGCATTCTACAGCATAAAGATCAACAAAGTAAGTAAATGCCTCATTCCTCCAGATGTTCGGTTGTTAATGTATCTCTCCCTTGACAGTACGGCTTCAAAGAGAAAAAAGGGTTCAGACTAAATCCTTTTCTGGCTTCGATGAAAGAAAAATCACACGAGTTCCGGGCTGGGAAAGGCGAAAAGAGCGAAATGGGAATGATTAGTGCTGGAATTGGTGCTGCCATGGGCTTAAGAACTCGTGGTGCAAGATGGCCTGATGACATGACGGTCCGAAGGAAAGTTTTGATTGCCACACTTGAATACGAAATTACGGATTGGAAGCTCAAAGTCAAAATTGGAGGCTTGGGAGTCATGTCTTCCTTGATGGGGAAAGCAATGCACGATGTTGACTTGCTATGGGTTGTTCCAAAGGTTAAAGATTTGGAATATCCCGAGGCCGAACCTGCTCCACCGATCGAAGTCACTATCTTTGGCGAAAAATACTTGATAGAACTGCAAATTCACAGACTTGACAATATCACATATTATCTGCTCGACTCTCCCGTATTCCGTGCAAATACCAAGTCCGACCCCTATCCGGCCAGAATGGACGACCTTAGCTCGGCGATCTTCTATTCCTCTTGGAATCAAAGTATCGCAGAAATCTGCCGAAGAACTCCAGACTTGGATATTTACCACATCAACGATTATCACGGTGCATTGGTACCGCTCTACTTGCTGCCTATGGTACTTCCTGTTTGTCTATCTCTTCACAACGCAGAATTTCAAGGACTCTGGCCGCTTCGGACCAAAGAAGAAGCCGATGAAGTCTGTCGAGCATTCAATTTATCTAAGGACATCTGTACGAAATACGTGCAGTTTGGAAACGTATTCAATCTGCTCCACGCGGCTGCCAGCTTCATCAGTCATCACCAAAAAAGTGTGGGCGTTGCTGGGGTTAGTGACAAGTACGGGAAGCGCAGCTGGGCCAGATACCCGGCCTTATGGACGCTCAAAACGATTGATTCGCTTCCTAATCCAGACCCCACTGACATCGAAGCACTTGACGCCGCTCCCCGAAACATGAAAGACGTGACCGTAGACGAAGCAGCTGAAGCTCAACGTCCTGAAGACAAGCGGAAAACACAAGAATGGGCCGGCCTGCATCAAGACCCCAAAGCTCAACTGTTTGTATTTGTCGGTCGGTGGTCCCTTCAAAAAGGTGTGGATCTTATCGCGGACGTGTTTACAACTATTCTTGAAAAGCGTTCCGACGTTCAGCTAGTCGCAGTTGGACCCGTTGTGGATCTTTACGGACGATTTGCCGCTGCAAAGCTAGCTCGGCTCATGGAGCTGCATCCTGGCCGGGTATTCTCCAAGCCCGAATTCACGGCTCTTCCGCCATTCATCTTTTCTGGAGGGGACTTTGCTCTTATCCCAAGTCGTGATGAACCCTTCGGATTGGTGGCCGTAGAGTTTGGAAGAAAGGGTGCTTTGGGAGTTGGGAGTCGATTGGGAGGTTTAGGCTTGATGCCGGGATGGTGGTTTCCTGTAGAAAGCGATAGTACTGCTCACATGCACTCCCAGTTTGCGAAGACCATCAAGGCGGCTCTCAAGTCCACAAACGAAGAGAGAGCAGTGCTTCGTGCGCGCTCTGCTCTTCAACGTTTTCCGGTGCTCGAATGGCGAAGTAGGATGGAGAACATGCATCGGCGCTCTATCAAGGCCTCACGGAAGTACGCAGGGACACTCGCCGCTGGCCCGGATATCCCTGTACAACCCCAATCAGATATGAAGATTGACATGGAAGAGTTTCGGTCTGATCCGTTTTCGACACGTGGCTCCATGGACTCGTTTCGTGCTGATCACTCTGAGGAAACTATCACAGATTTCACCAGGCATTCGGTACATTTAAGGCCTAGTCGCTCCCCATATAACCGCAATGGTTCTTCTCCAACAGGCACAGAATTAAACACTTCAACCTCCCCGCATTCTCCCAGAACTAGTGATGGTTATGACTCTGAAGGGAGAGATGCTTCTCCATTGGTGACCAAGAGAGGTGCGCGGGACTCTCGTGTGTCTCATGAGATGGATCGCCCCATGGATGGTAAGCGAATATCGGTTGCGCCGTCACTGCATCCCAATTACAATGCCTCGCAGGAGGAAAATGATCAATACGGAAGTTTCTTAACCAAAGCAAATCGCCAACTAAATCGAAAGCTTACCAAAAAACTTACAATCACGTATGGTAGACAAGCTGCCAAAGACCCATTTATTCCCGGTACCGCAACACCGACCACTGCCACAATGACCGAGTTCAATGAAGAAGAATTGCTTCCCCCGGTTAGGCCCTTCGCTGGTGGAGGCGACCATTCAAAGCGGAAATCTTTTGATTCTATCAACTCCATCATGGAAGAACACGGGGCAGAGTCGCCTTTGAATCAGGCTATCGAAGGTTTCACTGATGAGAACGGACAGGTCACCCAAGAGTTCATTGCAAAGCTCGCCCAGTTAAATTCGGCCAACTCAAAGGGTGACCTTTGTATCGCAGAATATTTGGTGGCAGCTGAGAAAGCTTATTTCAAGCATGTGAGAGATGACAAGCTTGCTTTAGCCAGATCCCAGTTCGATGGCGCAACGCTCCGCGGTTCGACCAAGAGGCCAATTTCCCGCGCTATGAGTGAATGGTCTGTGAAAAAGCATGCTCTGGAAAACGATGAGGAAGAAGAACAGACTGAAGGCAGTGATGAGCCTCTCGCTACAGTAGCCGAACTAAATCAATGGCAGATCAGACTACAGAAGGTCTACTTCGGCTGGCCCGTCTACACGATCTTGCTAGCCTTTGGGCAAGTCCTGGGAGCTACTAGTTTTCAGTTGTCACTACTTGGTGGTAGTAGCTCCCAAAGGACATTTGATCTGTACAGTAAGTTGAACTTCCACATTGATCTCAACAATCTTGAAAGCTGATTCATCATTCTGATTCACCAGTAATTGGGGCCGTTAACATCATCGGATCTGTAACGTGGTATATACTCAATAGTGTCAAACCGGCGACATGGTCACTCTCATTGCCTTGGGTTTGTTTTGGTATGGCTTTCTTCTTGATTGGATTGCCCTCACTATCGCCAGACTTGAAAGTCTACAGCGTTAGACACCCTTTGAGTCTGCTCGCTTCAAGTTTCTACTCCTTCGCCTCGGCAGCCGGATTTCGTGAGTCTTTTGAAGCTTTTGTTCACGTCGAAGTAAGCCATAACATTGAGCAAGGGTGGAATCGTAGTTTTCTTTAGCACCAATTTCGGGGAGGAGGCAGGTGGAGGTACAGATACTTGGGTGTACCGGGCTTGTGTAGTGCAAGGCACTCAACAAATCTGGGTATGTTATTTTTTTTTTTTTTCAAGGTTCTAAGATTTCTGCAAATTGACATAACTTGTCACAAAATCTTTACTATCCCACTCAGATTGCTGCCCTTTGGTATTGGGGATTCAAATTGCAAGGGACAAACCCAACAGATACAGCATCTGTACCGCCGGCATGGATCAACGCGTTCACTTTGACCTTGGCAATCACGTGCTTTGGCATTGGATATGTCTTGTACATTGGACTGGTAAGCAATCTGTGTGTGATGATTTATTTACAAACAGTGATTAACCAACTGGACTGTTACACAGCCCAATTACTACCGCAATCTTCCCGGCCAGGTTCCCAACTTTGTGAAGACTCTATTTCGCCGCAAGCTAGTAATATGGTACATGGCCGCAGAAATATTGAGGGATTATTGGCTGTAAGTGAAAAAATGGGCATATTATTTTTATGACAGATGCAAGCAGATGACCTAATGTATACTCTTGAAACAGATCGGGCCCCTATGGGAGAAATTGGTCCTTCTTGTGGACTGGTTCAGCTATGCCTGTCTGGGCTACTGTTATATTGGTTTTCATATTTTTTGTGGTAGTTTGGGCTGTGAGTTCTGCATTTTTGTTTTTTGCCGCTTAATTTTAGGCAATGAGGTGTTGATCAATCTTCAAATTTCCAGGTTGTGATGAAAGCACTCAGTCATGCTTCCAAGAAACATACATGGTTTCTGCCTATCTTCGCGGTTGGACTGGGCGCTCCCAGATGGTGTCAGATGCTCTGGGGAACCAGTAGTCTTGCCACATATATTCCATGGGCCGGTGCAGCAGGTCCTTATCTTGGTAGTGAGTGGAAAGGTTTCCAGTGTCTGATCAGTATGTCACGGACTATCACTGATTTGTACATGCTTTATTCCCTGGTAGCTTCCCTATGGCTCTGGCTAGGTGTCTTGGACGCGGTTCAAGGTGTTGGTTTGGGAATGATTTTACTCCAGACTTTGAGTCGGACGCACGTCGCAGCCACATTATGCTTGGCCCAAATCATTGGCTCGACGGCTGTTATTGCCGCTAGAGCCACAGCTCCAAACCGGATCGGACCGGGTAATGTTTTCCCAGATCTTGGCCTTTGGGACCGGACCGGGCATCTCAGGGAATCTCCCCTAGCCAATTGGGAGTTTTGGGTGGCCCTGGCATGCCAGTTGATAATTGTTGCCGGTTATTTAGTATTGTTTAGGCGAGAGGTACGCACAATTTACCTGTGGAATGTTGTGACCCTTCAGGAAACTAATCAAAACCTTTTTGATTGGTGGTGCATCTACAGCAACTCTCGAAGCCCTAGCCTAATCAGTCAAACCAACAAATCCAGTTGACTACAAGCAGAACCTTCTGAACGTATACATACAAACCACTTTTTCCCTCAAATGCGCCTCTGATATATTTCGCACTTCATTCTTTCTTTTCCACATCTCCGATTTCCATCACACATCGCAATTATAATCAAATGACATTTACCAAAGCGTCCGGACTATTGTTGCATTTCAAGCTCTAGAAGTTGACTTGGATATCTAAAGATCCTGTGTTCCATTTGATTTGTTTATGTATACTGATGATGGCCTGGAATATCAAATCCAGGTCCTTTCTAATGATAGAAACTGTTTCCTTTGATGTAAATATACTATCCATAATTGCAAGCTGATCAATTCATGGTTTGGACACCGAATGAATTCCCAATTTTACCCTGGTGGTGCCAGAAAAGTTAGAAAGCTGCGCTGAGCTACAAGAACATGGTCTTAGTTACTGTCACTGTCAGGTCAAAAGAATTGAAGTTGCAGGGGGGCCTTGCTGAAAAATGTGCACCAAACTGGCAGCAGTTGACATTCAGCTTACTCGCAATTTGATATGTTTCATAATTGCAATGCATTCACTGTTTTATTTTTTTGTATGCTGGTGGGTTCTTACCAAAATCACACAAAATGTGATCACCATAGTTAGACCCAGTTCAAACTGATACCCCTAACACAATTGCCTAGTCTGCTATGTTATGGGGGAAGACTTACCCCCAACATTCCATTTCATGCCCGCATCTTAACGATTCTCGCTCATGAAGCAACAAGTCTACATTTTTGCGCTTTCACTTTCCAAGGGTGCGCTTCAATTCCCACATCCAGGTTTCCATTGGACAACAAGCTTGAAGTCACGGGACTATGCCGATCGACATGAATTGAGGTTGCTTTTGCTCAAGCTCAAGCTTGTGCGAGCTACGGATTAACTGAGCTTTGATGTTTTGAGTGTAAAGCCATGAGCACGACCCGGAAAACTGAATAATCGACGCGTCCCAGGCTGCGATCAGTGCCACATCAAGCTCAGGTGGTGGTTGCTCAATCCGGGAAATCTTTTACAGTGCTGATCACGCTCAATGAATCGGATTCGTGGTGGCGAGAATGAATCCTTGATCTTATAAACGACCGGAAAGTCATCGTGTTCATTTGTGTCCTCCTAACTTCTTGCTTGATCTTACTATTACCATCTTCGCGTTTCTTACTTCTCGATTCTTTTTCGTTCCATCTTTCTGTCTTCTTGGCTTTTTTTTTCTTCTTACCTTTTAACCTTCTTATACGCATCACTACTTGATTGAAATCGAACGATTTTTATTCTAATTTCGATTTCGAATCCGCATTTCCAGATGCTTTCATTCTTCAAGCGGAGGTCGTTGGATATGAAGAGGGAGTCTGGCACATACCACGAGCTCAATGAAGTCCGCAAGATCTCGATTCAAGGAGAGGTTCAAGCGCTCACGATTGATCAGCCCATCGTCCAGATCAACCACTTCGACTTTGATATCATCCCCTTGCCCAACAGTCTCATCGGAGAGCCCTGCAAAGTCCAGAATTCTCTCTCGAAGATCTCGCGGCGAAAGACGGTCCAGATACCTTTGAAACCAGCCAAGAAATTCGGATTTGCGAGACCGCCTAGCCCGAAGAAATGCGAGTCAGTGATCCGTCAACTCAAGACCATCTTGGCCAATTCGAATCCTCAACAACAGCAAGCTTCGATCAAGCCTGCAATTGAGCCATCAGTGGGAGTGGGAAACCCGCGGAAGAAGAAGGTGGTGTCCAAGACGGATTCCCGGAAGATCTTGGGGCATCTGAACGACCCCGCATATGCCACCACGATCATATCGATGCTCAAGGAAGAACCGCATCCGGTCAGTGTGCTTGATCACCCAGGCCAAAATCCAGCCCGTCTTCCGCGCGGAGTATGTCTTCGCGAAAGCCAGTCCGAATTCGACTGTCCATCAGCGGTAGGGGCAGAAGCCATGGAGGTGTCGAAGACGCTGACAGTCCGAGTCCCCGGTCCCTCAGACGTCATCAACTTGGTCACCGGCTTGGCCGCCGGAAAGATCCTCGGCTCGCTCGCGCAGTCGGCCGGCTTCTACGACGTTCTGGCCATCGGAAGCAAACACTTGGTCGAGAATACTGAAGGCCATCAGGAATTAGTGGGCATGGTTCCCAAAGATCGGGTCAGCGTCTGGTGTTGTGAGTCGAGTATCTTTTTTTTTTTTTTGAGCAAGATTCAATGAACTCGGCTTTTTAAATCAACAAATGAGCTGATTTGTTTCCGGCTGAAACGATCGTCCAGACTGGTGGGGCTTTGAGATCGCGCTTCCGCTCGAAAGCGTGGACCGGCTCAAGACGGTCAAATCGATCGAGGCCGCGACAGTGCAGCTGTTGCTGGCGCTGACTGTTGCAGGAGGGGCCGTCGAGCTAGTGCCGTTCATCCGGTTTATCAGCGGCTATTTGGACATGGAATGGGCAGCCATCAGCGAGCAGAACAAAGGTACCATTTCTTCCTCTCTCTCTCTCTCTTTCTGTCGTCTCCGATTGCAGACAGGGTCTGTCAATTTTTTTTGTTTAACGGAGAGGTTTTCTTATTGATTTGTTTTGCTCAGGGAAAGGAGTGGTGGTTGCGGCTACATGGGCGCTTCCGATGGCTCTGGTCCCGCGTCCATGGGACTTTGGTTCGCCCGCGACTGTTGCTCCCCTCGGTATCAAGGCTCCCATTCCTCCCCCAGCAGCCAACGTTCTGGCTATATCCAGCCAATGATCCAGGCCATCATATGATCATCATTCTTCACTGTTTTTTTTATCGCGTCTTCTTGTCAATCTCGGATTTTTTCTTTTTTTCCCCACTAATTCTCTTTTTCTTCACGTTATTTTATCAGCTTGTTTAATTTATTTGTTGTTCTCCGCCCAGTGCGAGTATTATGTATGGTTGCGGGTTTTGAGATATGTTAATGAGCATTCTTCCTGCCACTCTATATACACTGCTTGCGACTTTCGTGTTAGAGAATGAGTCGGCATTCATGAGTCTGAAACCTCGCTCCGATCACCTCCTGGGAGCGGGTTCTACATACTTCCCACATAATCAGTCCGGGTGAGCCCCGGTGGTTATAAATTTTGGACATCATTGCAGGCTGAGCAACTGATACCGGCAACAAATTATGCTTAAAGTGTAATAGGCTAATGGTTGACTCAGGACACAACAAGGAATCCGCAAGCTGTGCCTGATCTGAGTAGGCGCAAGGTGCTGCTTGCACCATTGATGGGGTTGATACGAGGGGTTACGTTATCATCAGCAATGGTCGCAAGTTTTGGTTTGTTGGTGCCAGTTCTAATATTGCTCTTAAGACGCTTTTCCAGTTTCTGTGCAACAATCTCTGGATTTGACTCGAGACAACACCGACTTGGGATTCAGACAGCACATTAAGGCGACATGATCTCAGAGGGCCCGGCCCTGGATATATGGCGGCCTGCTTATTTAAATGTGTGAGCTTGATTGGGTTTGGTGGGTCGTCTTGCGCATGAAATCATCTTCAGGCTTTCTTTCACGCACCTCCGACTCCGAGTGAAGTCGGAGTTGCCTGTGCGGCTCACGGACCCCCAATGAATGGCATGCCCGCAGCAGACCCGTTTTAATTTAAAAAGCCAGCTGAAAACAGAGCACCCCCCCATCCATCACTCCACCACTACACCAATAGTCATACCTCCCTATTCCAGCAAACCATCCAGCGATCAAACCCTTTCAGTCGATCACTCTTGCATGTTCGCTAACGGCTTGTCGAGGTATGTACTACATACCAGGATGACAAAGCCTATCACACTCACCAGGAAACATACTGATCTTGTGCTCTTCTCCAGCTCTCACAACAGATATAGCTCGTCAGTCCTTCCCTTCTACCTAGTTCTCCCTATCGAACTGCTAACAGTTTCTCTCCCCCTTCCAATCCATCAATGTTGTTCTCATTCTCAGGGGACGCAAGTTTTGTGCACCGGGTGCTAGCCGCTATACGCATTAGATTTCCATCTAAGCTATCAACTACCTAACCTCTTCGCCACATAATCACCACCTCTACTTACCAATCTCACCACATACTCGGAACCTTCGCCATCATGTCTCCCCCAATGGCTATTCCCAATGCGCAAAGTGTCCAACCAACCAATCGTCACTCGAATGGCGTTTCCAACGGTCATTCGGCAGCCGTGCCGATCGTAGACCCCACAGCTATGAGACGTCCTGTAGACTCAGTCCGGGTGGAGTCTGAGCAGACAGCCTACACCGTATGCTCTGATCTATCCTCAGCTTCTTTGCTCACACATTATTCTGATCCACCTCACTTCACTTTTCACAGGACACTCATATCTTGGCTACCAGTGTTCACGAGAACACTCTCGTCACCCGCACCCCATCTGGTGGGTATGTACTCAAACCTACCAAACAAGCCATCCAGTTCAAGACCGAGCGCCAGGTTCCTACTACTGGGTGGGTCTGATTTTGGCATAATTAGTTCCTTGGAAATCAACTCACTTGTCTTTTTCCATCCTAACAGGCTCATGCTCGTCGGCTGGGGTGGTAACAATGGCACCACAGTCACCGCCACCATTCTCGCTAATAAGCACAACATCAGTTGGCGCACCCGCGAGGGCATCCAAACGCCCAACTACATCGGGAGTATTGTCAGAGCTTCTACGTGTACGTTAATGATTTGACGCTGCTTCCATTCCTTTTCCTCTAGCCGCTGACCGTCCAGCTCTTGAACAGTGCGCCTTGGATCAGATGCCCAAACCGGCAAGGATGTCCACATTCCGTTATCCGACATGTTGCCAATGGTTCATCCTAACGACTTAGTCCTTGGCGGTTGGGACATCAGCGGCATGCCACTTGACCAGGCTATGCGCCGAGCCAAAGTCATGGAATGGGACCTCCAGGACCAGCTCAACCCTTTGATGAGCCAAATGAAACCCCTGCCAAGCGTATACTATCCAGACTTGTTAGTGTGGTTTGATTCGGAAATTTTACTTGACTAGTCCGCAGTGTCTTGTTACTGATTATCATCTCAAATTTGTAGCATCAACGCTAACCAAGAAGAGCGAGCTGATAACGTCTTGCCTGGGACCAACAAACAAGCCCATCTGGACCAAATTCGCAAAGATATCCGCGACTTCAAGGCAGCCAACAAACTCGACAAAGTGATCGTACTTTGGACTGCTAACACCGAAAGGTACTCGGAGCTCATCCCCGGGATCAACGATACCGCGCGCAACTTGGAGCAGGCGGTGAAAGACAATCATGACGAAGTCTCCCCCTCAACCATCTTCGCTATGGCTTGCATCTACGAAGGCGCCCCCTATATCAACGGTGCCCCTCAGAACACTTTTGTTCCCGGATGTGTCCAACTCGCCGAGGAGCTTGGAGGGTTTATCGGCGGAGATGACTTCAAGTCGGGTCAAACTAAGATCAAGAGCTGTTTGGCCGAGTTTCTTGTGAACAGCGGTATCAAACCACTCAGCATTGCCTCTTACAACCATCTCGTAAGTACTTCACTTGTGAATACTCGGTCTGGGGTTCTAACCTACTTGATCGACCTCCATAGGGTAACAACGACGGTCGTAACTTGAACGCCCAGAAGACCTTTCGCAGTAAAGAGATCAGCAAGAGTAGCGTAGTTGATGATATGGTGGAAGCCAACCACCTGCTCTACAAACCTCTATTGGAAGCCCCTAAAGGAGAGAAGAAAATCGAGGGTGGCGGGCAAGCTCGTAAGACGGAGCATCCCGACCACTGTGTGGTCATCAAGTATATGCCGTCTGTTGGAGATGACAAGGTAGCATTGGATGAATATTACAGCGAGCTAGCGATGTGAGTACACTCTGATCAAGCACTTGACAAGCTCCCTTTTGCCCGTGACTCACTTTGTGCCGGTGACCTCATTTTTCTACCAGGGGTGGCCGCAACAAGATTGTGATCTCTAATACCTGTCAAGACTCGCTCCTTGCGATCCCGTTGATCATCGACCTTGTGATCATCACCGAGCTTCTGACCCGAGTCCAGTACCGCAAACCGAGTGGAAGTGCGACAGAAGAGTCGCAATTCCAAAAAGTGTACCCGGTCTTGTCCTTGTTGAGCTCCATGCTGAGTAAGTGTTGTTCCCTTCATTCACTGCGCCTTGGCCGACGAAACTGACACCGAAAACACAAATCTCTTGTCTGGGGTTTTTCCAGAGGCCCCGCTTGTCAGACCTGGCACTGACGTCATCAATGGGGCCGCCCGTCAACGCGCCGCCATCGACCACTTCTTGAGAGCGCTCATTGGCTTGCAACCTTTGACTGAGTGGGAGCAGTCCAAAATCATGGCCTGATCCGATCGCCTCTTATCGACATCGCTTGTCCCTGTGTTCTTGACGTGCAAGGCCGTCGAAACAGTGGGTCTTGACTTATCTTAGTCACAGTTAGTGTCTGGCTTGACCTATCCAGCCCCTTGGGCTCTCTTCTCTTCTACTTAGTCCTCGTTATCGTACATGTACTTGTGTGCTCCTATGCCCATTGTCTCCTCAAAGGAGTATATCGTCCTTGTGAGAGCCTAAGTAATACACTGCTCATCAATTTATCCATGATTTTTGGTGGAGGCAGAAGTAGTGAATGTTTGAGTTGAAAAAACACAGTGTCCACAGTGGTGAGGAGGTTTATTGGTCCTCCCTGTCCCACTAATACCATATTGTAGTCCTTGGGAGATTTTTGGATGGTGTGAGGTTTGGCTGCAAGTCTTGAATGCCCCTGTTATGGCTGAGAGTGGATCTCATCTTGTCACCTTGTGTGTGGTAAGTGCTGTTACATTGTTCATTCAATAGCCAAGCCTCAATACATACTTTGGGGGCTTATCAATCAGAGCTTACCAAGGCTTATATTTTTTTTTTTTTTCTTTTTTTTTTTTTCAAAAAAAAAAATGAATGTCCTTCATTGATTGTTCAGAATCCTTCAGAGCAACCACCTTGCCCAATCCAATCTCACAAATGGTGGTGATCCCTCAACTTCTGGAAAGTGGCCAGCTAGCCTTGTAAAGCTTCATACGTACAGTGGGTGGACCGTTATTTTTGGCTCACTGTTTTGGATTCCAGAGCTTCAAAGCACCAACTTGAAGTCACAAGTATTGGTGAAGTGGTGCAGAATACTTCCCAAAGAATGAATATGAAAAAAAAAAAAAAAAAAAGTTTCAAAATTTGTGAAAAATAAAAAATAAAAATGTTTTTTTCCAAAAGCTTTGTTATTGATTTTTGGGGAGTGGGAGTGCTGATCAGAGAATTAAGAAAGAGTGGAACATGGGAAGAATGATTATACAGCCAAACCGAGAAAGCTTGCGTCTCGGTTGGCGGAAGATTCAAAAAAAAAAAAAAAACCGACTGCAGTCGGAATTTTTGGAAGAATACAGCACCCTGTATGCCCATTCGCATACAGGGGTTACTTCAGGGTAAAATCCCTATCTTTTTTCTCCCTCAGTTCCAGGTCATGAGAGTAAGACCATCAGGATCCTGAGGGAAAGTTTAGTCAAACCGGACCATTGACATGATGGCCACCCATGCCCCTGCCCCCCTAGGGCTGGCTGGTTGGGTCCGGTGCGGTCCTGTCGCCGCTACCGGCAGGTATGTTGGAACCTGTACGATGGCTGTATTCTTCCGAAGATTCCGACTGCAGTCGGGATTTTTTTTATTTTTTTCTGAATCTTCTGCCAACCGAGACGCAAGCTTTCTCGGTTTGGCTGTATATGAAAAAAAAAAAAAAATTGGAACCAAAAAAGGGTTGGCCAGGTTGGTTGTCCAGATTGGAGCCAAAACAGTAAGTTCTAGCGCTTTGCTGCAATGTGGGCTGGTGAATGCCCCAATCAACAGCTCTTTGAAAGCCATCTGGAAAGCAATTTTTCCAAAATTTTCATTCATAATCATTTTTCTCATATCCCAATCTTCCTTTCTCTCAGCACTCTCGATCCCCCAAAATGAATTTCAAAGCATTTGAGAAAAATAAATTTTTATTTTTTATTTTTCACAAATTTTGAAACTTTGTTTTTTGTTTTTATTTTTTTTTTCATACATTCATTCTTTGGGACCTATAATTCTGCACCACTTCACCAATTCCTTGTGACTTCAAGTTGGTGCTTTGAAGCTCTGGAATCCAAAACAAGAAGCCAAAAATAACGGTCCACCCACTGTACATTTGAATCATCCATGGTCTCCTTATAGTAGTTGGCCCACTTCTAAATCAACAGACCTTCCTGGCATTCCAGAAAAATGTTCATGTCTCTGACCAAGGTTCTCCCCTTTTCTTCTCTTTTTTTTGCAAAAAAAATTGATCTTATATGTGTAATAAACAGGGCATCATATTAGGCCGTGTATAGGGGTGGATAGGCGGTATGATGACGGGGTCCAAAAAGGCTTGTGCAACCAATTAATTCCTTGTGCTTGCTTCAAGAAGACTCTCAAAAATTTGATAAACTTGGCTAGTTTTGTTTTTTGTGGTTGTGGGTGTGGTGTGCAATGGCTTTTGGACACTCATGAGCTCTACCCAACCGTAACGAGTCCCACACTGATGAAGCTGATGAGCTGTTGGAAAGTTTTGGAATATGGACTGGGATTGTGAGTTGTGACTGGGAATGCTTGATAGTTTGTGATCATGGCGATGTTCAAGATCAGATGATGGGGCGGTTTATAAACCTCTCATCATGAGCACACATCTGTAGAATATTTCACACCCTAGACCTAGTGTTCTTCCTGGTCTTGCTCTTCATATTATTTGGGTTCATAAGTTTCTCAAAAGCGGTCCGGTCACTGCTTGTTATTTTTCAATGATTGATGTACATAGATGGTCAGCTCATGAGGTGTGATTTTTTGCAGGATTTGATTCTTTTTCTGTTGTGTATGTGGTCCTGGACCAATAATGTCACAGGTTTTACCTTCACATTGGAGTGAGATTGGTCTACTTCAGTTATGATATCAGTCCAAATGTAAGTGGTCCATGCATTATTTAATAAATGTTTGAACTAGGACAGTTCATCATGATATTGGATGACTTCCCATCACAATCTACAACCCTCCCAGAAGTCAATTTACACCCCTTAGATCTATTTTTTTTCAACCAAAAAAAAACTTTTTTTCTGAAGCCTTCCACAAACAGCTCTCATGTGTGCCAGTTGAAATCTTAATCATGTGGTTAATTTAGGACTGAGGGAGGTCTAAAAAGCATTCAAAATTGTGATGGGAAGTCCTCCATTGTACTACTGATATCAGAATCAGATCTCATTAAACTTGGTTGTAATCTGACTTTGAAGATTGGTAGGAAGGAAAGCATTAATTTTAAGGCTTGTTGGCTGCAAGCTCACCTTTGAGAAGCAAAACCCCAAGGTTATCCATCTCACATCAAAAAAAGGGGCCTGAAAATCACAAACTCATACAATCTGTCTTCCCAGCTCGGCTTGATTTCTGGATCCAAACTTGTCTGCAAAGTTTCTGGACATCAAAGTTGATCATTAGAGCCATTTTGAGCCTGTTTCTGATAAAAATAAATCCATGGTTTTGTGGGCTGTACAGAGAGTCCCTGAGAAACCAAATCTGAATAACTCAAAAAAAAATATTGGCAAAAATTGGGCATAGATATAAAACCCCCTGTCCTGTTTATCGGATCATAAGAACCTTTTGACTACTTTGACCTTCAGTGATCAGTTTTTTGATTTTAAAGATAAAGACCACAGTATTGTTTTCTTTCTTGGTTTGATATCCTTTCAAATGTGATCAACTTGGTCCTGTTTTGGTGTTTTTGTTTCATAGTTATCTCCTTTTTATGCTTCATTATGGCTGTGTTTTTGAGGTACATTCCGGAGGACATCCTTTTGGCCCTCGTTTCTTTATGTTGAATTTGAAATCTTGTTTGGTTTGGAGACTTTAGCCACGGTCAAATTTAGTTTTAAGAATCATACAACCTGAATTGAGAGTTCTAGATTGACTACCTTGTTTGCACTTCTTCCTGTATGCTCGAGTTTTTGATTTGATTTGGAAGCTGCGCATAAAGTGTATGCTGGATGAATTTTGTTAGACTCTCAATTGTGACACATGTGCATGTAGAACGGAATGAAACCCAATCAAACCTCACCCCATCAATTGCGCTTGATAGCATATAAACGTGTACGCAGTGGGGGGGATTCATCATTTCTATTGCAGTTGATCTTAAAATAAATTGTTCGTTGATCACCTGATCAACGGCCCGTTGGTCAAGCTTGTCGATCGATGGCCACAAAAGTGCAGGGCGACCCCGAAGAAAACATATCAGCCTATATCGCAGAAAAAGACTGATCGACAAAAATAACGGTGCTTGTTGGACGTCGGCGGTGATTGCATTGCATGCGCATCGCAGGAAGTTAGGGTTTGATTGTAATCTGGAATTCTGGATCCTGGCAGAGGACAGCAGGACCTACATGGCCGGACCGAGGCCCAGCTGCTGTAACTAAAGTACTAGCCCCGTCATACAACCCCTTCCTATGTCTTTAACTCTCCTCCACTGCGGCTTAACTGCACGCAACCCATAATCTTACCATCAAAGACCGCTTTAAAGAGAGCCGATATCTTTTTGGTCGTGTGACCATTCGAAAAAACGTCGCAGGTTGTACTCAAGTACTTTTATGTACAAAATTCCCTGTCAATCGCCGTCATTGGAAAAATCATCCTAAATCATCACCATCTAGCTGCATAGATACAGCGGTACTGCATGTGTCCCTCACACGATATTATCTTTATTTCGGTAGCTTTCAACCTCCTATGTTGGGCAGCCTACTTTAGTACTTTAGCCAACTCCGCAATCAAGTATCAGGTCGGAGGATCCATGAATATTGATTGCGGCTTGCCTGAACATCAACACTTCTAAAAAAAAAATCTCCAAGGCAGTTTTTCCTTTCTTTTCTTGATACGCATCTCCTTCCGTCCGTTCGGTCTGAGTCAGCCCTGTATGTTAGCTCTTCCACCAAATTTGAAGCACCGATCATACTAATTATAGCAAGCACTCAGTACATTCGCCGTTAGCCCCAGTCCAGGAACACGCATTTTTCTCCAAATTATCCTACGTCTTACTTCTCTTTCGAAATGATGACCCAAGAGTCACCCGAAATTCCTGGAGTAGGGAGGAAGGAAGATTATGCGCTTGGCCGGAGTTCAACCGAATCAAAACGACTATCTGATCAGCATGAGGTCCTACTCAAAGCTGCCGGAGGCTACATCCCAGTCCCATTATCAATTGAATGCGAAATGCTTGAGGCAATCCTTGACGTCGGAACTGGTAATGGCGCTTGGCTATTAGGCCTTCGACAGTCGGGAATAATACCTAACTCGGTTGAGCTAGTGGGTGTCGATGTTAGTGATAAAATGATGCCTAGCATAGAGCTCGGCCGCAAGTTTGGTCTCAATCTGCAAGTGAAAGATCTCTGTGAACCATTACCAAGTAGCTGGAATGGGAAGTTTGACTATATACACGGGCGTCATGTGTTCATTTGGATTGAGCCTTACAAATGGTTAGACGTTATGTGCAATCTCAAACGTGCTCTCAAACCAGGCGGTACTCTTGTGGTGAGTTATGATCTTTCTTATGAATCTTCAAGTGATCGATCTTGAGCTCATGTTCGACATCTCAATCACTCCGACAGATCATGTACCCCGGAGAAGTGCCATACGACCATAAAACTGAGAAGCCGTTGGCTATCGATACCGCGCCCAGAAGATTATTTTCGGCATTTCTTCAGTAAGAGCATGACCTTGCATCGCGTCCTATCATCAACTTCAAATGATTCCGATGGGCGATCTAACTTGAACTCTTTTGTAAACTCAGGTATACAGCATCTGCCGGCTTACCTCGTCAAGCGGTTGCTTCTCTCCCCAAGCTACTACTTGAGGCTGGATTCGACTCGGACTCAATCGTTACCACAACCAAACGAGTCAACCTTGGAAGCGCTGAGCCAGATTCAGCATTGCGGCCGGCATCAGCGCATCACCTGGATTTTTTGCTTGAATTGATGTACAATCGTACTTCCTCTCCAGAAGATGATTTCCCGTCTCCCGGCGATCACGTTGGTAAGCCAGACATTCAAAACTCAATGGTTTACGAAAAAAAAAAAAAGAAAAAAAAATTGACTTTGATTCTATGAACTTGAAATAATTTTCAACAGGATGGGAAGAATTGTTAGAAGGTTGGCAAGAAGCCACTGATGCAGGATTTTTTTACGATCTTTTTATCTTGTCGGCGAGAAAGCCGCAAAATTGAATCAATGATTGATGCTATTTGTATGTCTTTTTTTTCAAAAACCTCTAAAATTGTAGTCACAAGCACAGTTCTTGATTTTATCAATTGTTTTTGTTTGGCTCTTTGGCCCGTGATGGTTCACACTCAATCGAAACCATATTTAAGGATAAAAAAAATCTGCCAGACGACGAATAGGACCCACTTGATAAATGTCGAATATATCTTTCATGGGCCTATAGTATCATATCATCCTGTTAAAATCCCTAGCTAATGTAAAAATCACTAGATCACCGTTGCTTCCACACATTTTTCTCTCTATTTTCTCAGTCAACTTGATTGTTTCTCCATTATCTGCTTCCATCTCTTTGTATTTTATGTTAAGTGCGCTAGTTCTCCTTTTTTCATCTTCAAATGCTTCTTCTCGAATATCAGTAGGTCATTTGTGATTCCATATTCTTCAGTTGTTTGGAGATCTTTATGTAGTTAAGAATTCCTAACATTTTCTCTCCATAAATAAGCGTATCCGATGAATAGTTCCAGCCATGCTAGAAAACAAAGGGCGATGTTAAAGTAAAGAATATAGACTCTTGCTTGTTCAACTACACTGGCACGACATGGACCAAGAGGAAGTTGATGCTCGGGTCAAGAAATATATCATCATATGAGGTCTCCTCCAGTAGATCTGACAAGAATTTCGATTCTAACAAACATGCGAAGTTGAATCTCTCATGTGTCATTGGGGTGATTAAATTTTTCTTCATCTTACGCTTTCCCCTCCGAAACGGTCCTTTAAAATAGCCAACGGACCAAAAATGGACCGGCTGAGATAAGATCAGCTGAGATAAGATCAAGTTAGTTATATCACAGGTATATTTACCCTTGGCTTACCCGGACGAGGGTCAACATGAGATTTGTTCATTAGAGACAGTTCAAGTTCCGTTTCGCCCGAGATGTTAGCGCTGGGCAGCTAGAATCCAACCTCTACCTGCAACATATGCAGTTTTGTTTTTAATTTTTGACTTGACTGTTGTTAAAAACACTGTAACAAGTCATGATTTCTCAGTCGGAGAGTAAAACTGGAGCTTGAAGCAGTCAAATTCCAGTGCAAATCCAAGTAGTGAGTTGAGCCAGGCTTCTGAGAGTGCGACAATGAAGCCGCCCGTGGAATCTCTTTAGTAACAGTATGAAAAAACTCTCAAGTCTGTCTTGTCCTTTGCTCAATTTGACGAGTAAAACATGGTGCTTGACTATGTACAGCAGATTTACAGATTGTAAAAAAAAAGTGTCCACTACAGTTTAACCTACAAGGTGCGAAATGGGATACCTATGCAATTGAAAGGTGGAATCGAGAAAAGATGAACTGTCGTCTTTCGAGTCTACAATTTATGCCGCATGTGTCTCAACAAACACTCTCCCATTTTTCCCCTGTGCTCCCCGCAAATTAACGAAGCCCGACTGGTAGGTTGGGCTCAAGTTAGTGATTCGTTTTATTCATATGCTCAAGAGCCAAGAAACGTCAAGGGTCCAATGTTACTCACCTTCTTATCGCATTTTGTAATCATGTTTTTAACAATTGCATCAGCGTCTTTCTTCATGCTGTTCCGTCCAAAAGTGAATCAAGCAAGTCAGTGCAAAAGCCCTAAAAAGTTATATATGTTTGAAACACTGACACTTGAAGCATTGATTCATCTGTTGTGGAGATGCTCAACTAATGACGTTGAGTTTTGTTCATGTCAGTCATTTGCCAAGAGTAGTGGAGTTCTTATGTTGGCTTGGCCCGTTTGACTCACATAGCATGATTGGAAGACCACATGGGCCCCATTTGTTGTGGGGCTGATACGGCCCTGGGAATCCGTGCTGAGGCCTTCGTAGGCTCTAAATACACAGTCCGTTGAACATCCAATTCTAATCAGTGGGGGCCAAGCATACAGATGCCAAATGACTTTGAAAAAAAATACTGACTTTATGCAGTCGTCGTTTGCTTTAATATCTGGCATTCCCTTGGCCTGATAGCAATACGGTTTGTCGAGCTCTGCATCGGGATTGAATGCCTCATATCTTGAACCAGCCGCCGCGCGCTCCCTGATCTCCAGACTGGCTTGAGGGATATTTGGAAACATGACATATCCACCCTATGACGGCCTCAAGCAACAGTGTGAGATTTGAATTCCATAATAAGTTAAAGCTACCAGAGCATAAAACGAAATATGCGAACAATATTTGGGCATTTCTTGAAAAGGGCCTCAAGGGCCACTTTGATATCGGGCTCTGTGCTGAAGAGGAGAAGATTTTTCAATCAACATTTTTGTGCTGGTTGATTTAAAGATGCCGTGGTACGTATATTGATCCAAATATTTAATGCATGTTCATGTCACTCACACAATAGCATGATTTGGATTCTTAACGATTAGCTGAGGTGAGAGGTGAAAATCATTAGCAATGAGCAGAATGGAATTAGACATCCTCTAATTTGACGAAATCAACTGATCAAAATCAAAATAGAAGGGCTTACGCTGCAGCCGCCAGAGATCGTTTTCACTACGCCTTCATCTGTAGGAAGGTGTGGAGCTTTGCCACTAGTGTCGAAGATGATTTTCTTCATTGCTCTGGTTGTTTCGGATTTCATCCAGAAATGTTGAATCAGAAATAAACCATTTCCATTTTTTGACCAAGGGAAGAAAACTAGGACATTCCAACGCACGCGTAGCAATCTTTGTTATTGCGCTTTCGGTTCACATCTCCGTTCACGTTCCAACAGCCTTTCGCATCCACAGGAAAGGTCGTGGCCAGTAAGATACTGATGACGACGATGAGAACACATCGATAAGCAATCATTTTTAATTCTATTTTTGTTTATCAATGCGAGGTTTCTGCGACTTGTTGGTTGAGCTTTGGATTGGGATTAGGATGGAAAGTCTGTGGACTGCTTCTGGCTGGAAAGGTATCTTGGACTCTGATGAAGAGAGGGATAGTGAACAGCGGTTCTGGCCTAGCTGGTATGCCTTTTATGGATGGGATCGGGTAGTATAGCCGTTGTGCGTCGCAAAGAGGGAGGCGCAATCCAGACGGTACATGCTATTATTACGACTCTGAAGGCTCCTGGAGCAGGTATCCGGTGGCGCATGTGAATTTCTGAGGGCCGACAGGTCTCTCGGCCTCACTGATCACTGCCAAAGAGCCTCACAACGACCGGTTCTCACAACCGGCCACCAGCGTAGTCTTTCCATAGAAGGAGCTGATTAGTAGCGGTACCACTCCAGTCTCGCTTCAGTTTATGTCTCGTACTGCCGAGATCATATGTATATGCCCCAGTTCGCGCATCTGTGTCCTTCGCAAATCTACTCCCGTAACAAGGCCAGCACCTATGACAACATTGGCCACTGCACAATGCTATCCACCGAAGTTGCTGTCAATACATGCTATCATCGCCAGCTACTAGAGTAGTACTGTCAAGTGCCATTGCCGGGGCAGAGGACTTCTTGTTTCATCGTCAACCCTACAACTGGATGATTAAGCCAGTCTAATACTCTTCGAAAAGACCGTTTCCACCCAGGCCCGCAGTGCAGACTCAATGAGATGCGTGACTGGTTGACCTACGGGCATTTTCTACAACATACTGATACAGCTGATGGGTGATGATCAGAAAGAAATCGCTTTTTTGCATAGGTTACATTGCTAGGGACTCCTTCTTCCTGGGGCTGAAGGGGGCGAAAACACATCCGCCAAACACCCCTACATACCAGTCAAGGTATGTACAAGTCTGGTCTCAAGATCAAGTCTGGTTTCAACAGTTCTCCGGGAGGCCCACACGCTTGAACAAGAGTTTGATTTATACCCCCCACTGCTCATCATATACAGCCTTAGAGGCCCTGCTCAGCCAATCAATTACTGTTGCTTCAAACATTTGTGGAAATAGGTCACCAATGTAAGTGGTATTTTGCTTTCCTTATGTAGCTTTTAGGAAAAATCTAACCGCCTGCTGTTTCTGTTAGGTTGCGATTTGATTTTTTTTCAGTTGTCTTTTGGCCGCTTCTCATCATGGTTAGATATCCTATTATATCGCTCTTCGTTGGACGAAGAAAATTGATTGATCCAGAGAACACTATCTCTTCTTTGACATGAAGCAGGTGAGCCAATGTACGGGGATGGAATCCTCTCAAGAAGCAACCCAAATTGTGGAGATGCGCAAGATAGGGGCCGTTCATCAGTTGCATGACTGTTCACCCTCATCACCCTTATTTCATCCAAATCCTCCCGGGGGATCCTCGAGTTCACCAGGTTCCGTCAGTGTGGATCTCTCTTCCGAACTTCATGGTACCCTCTCAAATGAACAAGTGAGGAACATGTATTCCAGTTTTCGGACAATTGGGCAACATTTGACTGTAAAATACGTGATATGACCATGTTTGTAGGACTCGCATGAACTGAGGATTACCATTGACAACCAAGGGCGAAATGATGATTTCGAAACATCTAGCAAAAGCACTTCAAATCTCATGATACCCGTCTTGAGCTCAAAATCAAACGAAGGGAACCCTACTGGAGAGTCGGATGCATTGCAGAATTCACAACCAGATTGTTGCTCGATTTGCCTGTCTGAATGGAACGAACTTCAAACAGAACAACCATCCGCAGAACACAGCTGTCAGAAGAATGGCTTCCAAGAAATGATGGAAAAAGATCGTGTCTGCCTTCGTTGTCAAGAAGAGGCTGAACACCTTGGAAACCAAAAAGAAACACTCCCCTGCCAGCACACATTTCACCAAAAATGCATTCAAGGATGGCTAAATTCGCATCATACCTGTCCTATCTGTCGAAAAGATTTAACACCTGAGAATCCTGATCCAACAATAACACCTATAACAGAAGATGATACTTGTGCAACCCGCGCAGTGGCAACTTTCTCTGCAATTTTTATAATAACATCATTGTGTTATTTCATTAAATATACTCTTTTCTAGGTAGACAGTGAGCTTATCTAATATACATACTAGTTTCCCCAAAAATACTTTATCATCTCAATCATTCCCTATGTTTTGTTTTATTCACAACAAATGTCAGCCTATGAGCAATGCTGAAACAGGGAAAATACAAGACAAGACAGTATCAGGTGTTTAGTGGTATCATCTCAGAATTTGAATACCCCAAATGTGAGGGGGAGCCTACTACGTCACAAACTCATACGGCTATGAAGTTATCCAAGAGGATAACTCGCCAAAGATGACACAATAAACTAAGTATTTTGTGTTATAGAAACTTTATAAGTTTAAACAGAGATTTTGAATTTATCTTTAAAGTTAAGATTTCTTAGTATTTTAATTCTGAGGAGAATATAAATAACAAGGAATATCGAGATAAGGAAAAGAAAGAAAGGGAACAAAGATCATCGGAATGAAAGATCATAAGGAAAATCCATGATCGACAAAAGTATTAATGAAAACAGGAACTGATCGTCATCGGAATGATGTCATCTAAGAGAAATGATGTCATGAAGACTTCCTTGATCGAGAATCATAGGAAACATAGCATGACATCATAGTGACCTACACATAAATGCATAGCATTCATCATGTAAAACCCATAATATCTGCTAAACCCATGATTTATCACAAAACAGACCTGCCTATTACCCCAAATCGTCATCAATTTCTTCCAGTTGTTTTTTGTTCTTTTTATAATACTTAGCATGGGCCATCTTGAAAGCATTTAAATAAACCCCTAAAGAAGTTGGCAAATGTTCTTCAGCTACCCATGTGTTATTAGCCACCGTAGAATCATTCCAGGAGAGTAAATATTCATCTTTACCTTTCTTTACTGACCTTACATCCAATATTTGTTTCAACTTTTTCCAATCAACAATCTCTCCCTCTTCATAATACCGCTCCTTTATTCCATCATCAACCTTCCTGTCAATCAAAGAATTAGTTCCAACATAAGCTACAACCAACCCCACATTGAAAACCGGATGGAGTTTAGGATATTCTCGAGCAATATCTAATCTTACCGCATTCTTACCAACCATCTCTTCCACCACGAACGGGCCGATGTATCTATAGTCTAATTTTTTATTTATTCGACGAGATTGAATAAACTTCCGCAACAGAAGAACCTTCTGTCCTTTTTTGTAAACAGGGGAGTCGCGCTTGCCCAAATTGTAATACTTAGCCTGACGAACTCTTGCTTGATTTAAACAAGCCATTGCCGTCTCTTGAGTAACCTGTAAATCCACCACAAAATCATCTAAATCCCGGCGCCCAAATGAATCAGTCATGATGTTAAATTTTGGATGATGACCATAAGTAAAAAAAAATGGAGAAATTTTCAGACTCGACGAATCCATATTATTAATGGAAAATTCTGCTAAATCCAAACACTTATCCCAATTGTCCTGATAGTAAGAACAGAAATGTCGCAGATAGTCCTCTAACACTTGATTCATCCGCTCAGTTTGTCCATCTGTTTGAGGATGATAAGCTGTCGACGGAGCTGATTTTATGTTCAACGCAATCATTAGTGACTTCCAAAAATTACTTACAAAGGTCGTGCCTCTATCCAAAATAATCTTATCAGGCAATCCATGAAGCCTAAAGATGTTCTTACAAAATAAATTTGCCAAAACCATAGAGGAAGATGCCTCATTACAAGGAATAAAGTGCGTCAACTTGCTTAACAAATCAATAACAACCAAAATGGAATCAAAACCAGCAGAAAGTGGTAACTTTACAATCATGTCCATACCAATAACACTCCACGGATGAGGAGAAGCCACTATCGGAATCAATTTCCCATCCTTCAAACGTCGTCTTGCCTTAACACGTTGACAAGAATCGCAAGACTGAACGTACTTCATTACCACGTTTCTGATGTCAGGCCAAGAAAATGTCCGTAGAATTGTTGAAAGAGTCCTCGCAATCCCGGGATGTCCAACCGTCGGTGCATCATGATACATATGAAGTAAACGAGTCCGTAAAGTCTCAGGAACAAAAACCCTATCTCGATACCATAACACCTCATTCCTCAAACGTAAGGCCTTATTTTTCTTATCATCATCAGTATAATTCTTTATCAAATATAGTAGCATTTCCGCATTAGGGCGCTGAAAATACAAATCATGAACAGACTTATCAATCTTCACCGCTGAAACATCCACCATCCTGTTTGCAATCGCACTCGAATCCGGAATCTCTCCTCGATCATCACCAAAATCCTCTCTTCGACTAGGCGCATCGGCTGGATTCTTTTTTCCCGCAATATGAATGATCTTCATGTTGAAGTTATCAAGGTAATTTGCCCATCGTGCTTGTTTGGGAGAAAGATACTTAGCTGTCTTAAAATATAACAAATTCGAATGATCTGAAAAAACTGAAACTGGATTATCTGTACCCATCAACCAAGCCCTCCACTCCTCAAAAGCGGAGACAATCGCCAACAACTCCAAATCAAATATCTGCCACGAACGCTCCCGATCAGACAACTTCCGTGAAAAATAACTGACAGGCAAAGCAACACCATCCGAATTTGGTTGACTCAAAATTGCCGCAATCGCGTATCCCGAACTATCTACATGAAGAATACGATCCTTTTCAAAATCAAAATGCATCAACAATGGTTCATCAACAAAGAGTAATTTCAAAGCCTGAAAAGCATCCTTTGCTTCCTTACAACCAAGATCCGACGTAGCTTTGAACTCATTCTTAGTCAATGATGTCAACGGACCAGCCACGGTGGAAAAATTTGGAATGAACCGCCGATAAAAATTAGTGAAACCCAAAAACCGCTGAACTGCTTTTAAAGAAGAAGGAAATGGCCAATTTGCAATCGTATCTAGCTTTTTTTGATTCATCTTCAAACCCAGATCAGTAATATCAAACCCCAAAAAAGTAACTTGTGAACAAAAGAATTTGCACTTATTTCTAGATGCCTTTAATGAAGATTCCCGGAGCTTCTGTAAAATCTTTTTTAAATCTTGAAGGTGTTGATGTCTTGTCTTAGAATAAATTAAAATATCATCAATATAAACGAAACAACACACATCAAGATATTCTTGCAAAACATGTTGAATAAACCGCTGAAAGGTTGCTGGAGCATTAGCCAAACCAAAAGGCATTACCTGATACTCATATAAGCCCCATGGTGTCCTGAACGCTGTCTTCCACTCATGCCCTTCGGCCACTCGTAACAAGTTGAAAGCTGCTTTCAAATCTATCTTAGAAAGAAATTTACAACCATGCAAGTTATTCAAAAGGTGAGCAATAACTGGTAAAGGATAAGAATCTCGAATAGTCATTCCATTCAAAATTCTATAGTCTACACAAGGTCTATCCGCCTTACCCTCCACTTTGACATAAAAGATAGGAGCGGCCGCCGACGATGAGGAAACTCTAATAAAACCCTTCTTCAAGTTGTCATCCACATAAAGCTTTAACTCATCTCGCTCAGACTTACTAAGATTATACATCCGTCCAAAAGGTGGAACAGCGTCTTTCTTCAAGTTTACCTCACAATCAAATCCCTTCCGATGAGGAGGCAAAGTAGCCAATGCATCTGTTACAAAAACTTCTGAAAATTCTTTCAACAAAAAAGAACCATCATCTTCCTCCAAGGTAGAAACTACAACAGCTCCATTATGAATCAACACATCAGTGTTACAACCCCCAACAAAACTGTTCGACTCCCTTAACCAGGAATTTCCTAAGATAACATCAGAAGAAGAAATAGTTGTCACGTTCAACTTAACAAAGGTTGAAATTTCCGAAGCAGAACTGGTGGGAATTAACAAATCCCCTTTTACGAATGATTTAATATCACTGGAGCTAGCAAAGGAACCATCAAAAGATCGGACCTGTACGCTATTTTTTAAATCAAAAACCTCTAAACCATTCTGCGAAACAAATTTAGCATTGATAAACGAAGAAGAAGCACCAGAGTCAATCAATATCGAACACATGATAGAACGATCAGTACTTAATCTAAGCTTTCCCATGACAAAAGGTCGTAAGTCAGAAGAAACATTCATCTGCACATAAGCAGGATGCTCACATTCATTATACTCCATCTCCGCTAATTGCCGAGCGAAGCACATGTCTCCAACAGACATTGGCCCTGACTCTACCACATCCACAGTAACTGAACGACTGTCGCCCTCGCCATCCGGGGCTTTCATCTTTCCCGCCCTCTTCTTCGATATTGGTTCTTGATTGATCTCCGAAACCGATACTCTCTTCTTGCCCTTGTCAAAACAATCAGCCGGCGCAGGTGATGCTGGTGGTCGATCTGTCTGACGACCCGACGTCCCTCGCAAAGAACCTGAAGGAAGATTAACCGGAGCCCATCTAGATTCGTCCGGTTGCTCCAACTCGCCAGAACAACGTCCTCTTTCATTCCAGATATGCCCCCCCCAATCCTTCCAAATGGCCAAGCATTGCGGCTTCGAAAGATGATGTTTCTTAGCAAGAGGGCAATGATGAACGACGTCGTGAGCTGAATCCCAAGTTCCACCGCATCGATGACACAAATGTTGAAGAATACACTCCTTCTTCCAATCTTCATAGGTGAAACCGATCTGAGCCGCCAACACGTCGATGTCCATTGGGACAGCTTCTGAAAGTTTTGGTGGAGGAACCACAATCTTCTGCT